TAACCCCGTCAATTGCCAGTTACAAAACAGCTTGGAGTCTATTGGAAGACAGATTTGACAACAACCGTCTAATCGTACAACATCATGTTCGTGCCATTTTTTCGTTAGCACATGTAACGAAAGATTCAAAATCATTGCGGCAAATGATTCAAACCACAACAACACATCTGAAAGTGTTAGAATCGCTTCAAAGACCAGTCAAACAATGGGACGATTTATTAATACATATAATTTCGTCAAAACTAGATCATAACACGCTTATTGCATGGGAATCTTCACTTGGTCATGAAATTCCTACTTATGAACAATTAGAGAAATTTGTCGTTCAACGTTGTCAAACCTTAGAATCTCTTGAATCGGTATCAATTTCTACCAATAATAAGTTTAATACAAATGTGAACCAAAGTGCAAAACCTATTCAGAAAGGTTACATGACACGACCTGCAACTCATGTCTCCACAAGTTCAATACAATGTAGTATTTGCAATCAAAATCATCAATTATTTCGTTGTAAAAACTTTTTAGAAATGACAGTCGCACAACGTATCAATGAAATTAAAAAACATAAACTATGCCAGAATTGTTTTAAAGCTAATCATAAAGCAGACACTTGTACCCACAGTCAGTGTCGTAAGTGTAATAGAAAACACAACACGTTACTCCATATTGAAAATACTCCGGAAAATGTTGAAGGCTTAACGCCCATTAGTAGTCATTGTGTATCTCTGATATCTCAAACTGTCATTCTCTCCACAGCATTAATAAAAGTTTTTGATAAAAACGGTAAAGAGCATCAGTTAAGGGCATTGCTTGATAGCGCATCAACTTCTCACTTTATTAGCGAAAACGCAGCGCGAAAGTTAGGTCTACAAACAAACAACATTACGTTACCTGTGGTCGGAATTGGAAATAATTCGACAAATATTAGGAAATCTACTTCTCTTAAAATACATTCCAACTATAACCGATTCAGTGACACTTTATCGTGTCTAATAATTTCACGAATAACATCAGACTTGCCTGCCATTACATTCGATAAAACTGCTCTCAGTGTTCCAAAAAACATTAAATTAGCAGACCCTCAGTTCAATGTTTCATCTGAGATTGATATATTAATCGGTGCATCTCTATTCTGGAAATTATTATGCATAGGGCAAATCCAAAATTCTGACAAGGGACCAGTTTTTCAAAAAACTTACTTGGGGTGGGTAATCTCGGGAAATATTCCAGTAACCCAACCACCCACATCCGTTTGCAATTTCTCAGTCGCTGCTTTTGACGAATTTGATAACAGGGAGAATAAATGTTTATTGCAAGAGCATGTTGAATGTGAACGATTATTTAAACAATCAGTAACTAGAAATTCAAGTGGTTTGTTTGTCGTAAAATTACCATTTAAAAGCGATCCACCTTCAGTGGGTTTCACAAAACACGCTGCAATAAGTCGTTTAAAAAGTATAGAGCGCAAATTCTTGAGAGATCCCCAACTTAAATCCGATTACACTGCATTTATGCGAGAATATTTAGAAATGGGTCACATGCAAAAATTAAAGGAAGATGATGATGGAACACAGGTTTGTTGTTACATTCCACACCATCATGTTGTGAAACCAGACTCCGAAACCTCAAAAATACGAATTGTATTTGACGCATCAGTCAAATCCTCAAACGGGAAATCGCTAAATGACAACTTATATGTGGGAGAATCATTACAACAAGAGTTATTTTCAATTTTAGTTAGGTTTAGAGTTCATCAATTTATCTTGAGTGCAGATTGCGCTAAAATGTACAGAATGATCTTGGTTGATCCGGAACACTGCAAAAGATTTCAAAGAATTTTGTGGAGATTTAATTCAACAGAAAAAATTCAAACATATCAGCTTAATACGGTTACTTACGGATTTGCATCTTCACCATTTTTAGCTATACGATGTTTGCAAGAATTAGCTAAAACGGAAGCCGTTAATTTTCCAGACTCGTATAAAATCATTTTAAGAGACTTTTATGTTGACGATTTATTAACTGGTTGTGACTCTATGGAGAGTGCATACAAAATTCGCGACGAAGTAACTGAAATTCTCAGAAAAGGTGGATTTGAATTACGAAAGTGGTCGTCAAACATTAAAGAACTACTTCCAAAAAACTGCACACAGTCAAAAACAGTACATCTTATTTCTCAACCAGAGAAAAAAACGTTAGGTTTGTGTTGGAACAGCGAATCGGACACAATTAAATTTATTCCCAGTGATATTCCGTTCAGTAACAAAGCAACAAAACGCACAATACTTAGCACTTTAGCGCATGTTTACGATCCAGTGGGTATAATTTCTCCCACCATGGTCACCGTAAAGATTCTTTTACAGAAATTGTGGTCTTTAAAGTTAAACTGGGATGAATCTATTCCCGAAAATTTATATACAATGTGGGCAAAATTCTTACAAGAATTTAAAATGATGGAACAAATTACCATACCTAGAAAAACAATACCTCAACATCCCACCACAGTTCAAATTCACGGCTTTAGTGACGCCAGTCAATCTTCATACGGTGCATGTGTCTATGTTCGGTGTAAGAATGAAAACGAAACATATACATCACATCTACTTTGTTCGAAACATCGGGTAGCGCCTTTACGTGCCACAACAATACCGAAACTGGAATTGTGTGCTGCAGTTTTATTGGCAGAATTAATGAACAAATTACGAACAGTTTTAGATATTAACGTTGAAAAATATTTCTACTGGACGGACTCGGAAGTTGTTTTAGCATGGCTTAAGACTGATCCAGCTAAACTTAAAATTTATGTCGCGAACAGAGTAACTAAAATACAAGAATTAAGCAAAATTACAGATTGGTCGTATGTCAAGTCCAAACAAAACCCAGCTGATATTTTATCACGCGGTATGGCGGTCAAACAGCTGCAGAAATCGTTTCTATGGTGGCATGGACCAGAGTTTTTATTACAACCTGCTAGTAAATGGCCATACAAAAATATCATTCAAGACGAAAATTTGCCAGAAATAAAGCCGTTATGTTGTGTAACACATATTGATGCAACTTTCGATTTTTTATCACGATTTTCGTCATTTACAAAATTAATAAGAGTAACCGCTTATTGCCTACGATTCATTCATTCATTTCAATTACGTTATAGTTCGAAATACAAAAACAACGATTCAACTTCTGATTCCTCGCGTAAAGCGCCCAGTAGTTTAACTTTATCCCGTAACGAACTCAATAATGCACACGACATTATAATCAAATTAAGTCAGCGAGAATCGTTTCACAATGATATTGAATCTTTGAAAAAAGGTAAACCATTATCACATCACAGTAAAATAATAAACTTAAACCCGTTTTTAGACCAAAAAGGACTATTGAGGGTAGGAGGAAGATTGAGACATGCACCCATTCAGTACGATCAAAAACATCAATTAATATTAGCAAAAAATCACAATGTAACAAAATTGATAATTACATTGACACATATCACACATTTGCATGCCGGGTGTCTTGCAACACTTTACGCAATACGTCAACGTTATTGGCTAATTTCAGGACGAAACGCGGTGCGAAAAATTATACATCAATGCATAATTTGTTTTAGAGCTAAACCTAAGTCTTACCAACAACTTATGGGAGATTTGCCTGAGTCACGGGTCCGACCATCAAGACCATTTCAGTACTCAAGTATCGATTATGCAGGCCCAATATTATTAAAGAATGGTCGTGGTAGAACCACTAAAAGAATTAAGGGTTACATTGCAATTTTTGTTTGTTTCGCAACTAAGGCCACTCATATTGAATTGGTGTGTGATTGCACCACCGAATCGTTTCTAAACGCACTTAAGAGATTCGTCGCGCGCCGGGGGAAGGTTGACACAATTTACTCGGATAATGCTAAAAATTTTGTAGGAGCTGACCGAGAATTAAAATCGCTGTACAATTTATTACAATCACCAAATTTTCAGAAAAAGGTAATAGATCATTTAATAAACCAAAAAATTTGTTGGAAATTTATGCCACCACGAGCTCCACATTTTGGCGGTTTACACGAAGCCGCGGTCAAATCGGCCAAAAACCATTTACGAAGGGTGGTAAAAAATGCCGTACTTGATTTTGAAAGCATGTACACGCTGTTAACGATGGTGGAAGCTTGCATGAATTCCAGACCCTTGTCTCCCCTTTCCTCCGATCCAACAGACCTACAAGCATTAACACCAGGTCACTTTTTGGTTGGCGACTCGTTATTGGCATCAGCGGAAGCAGATTTAACGGAAGTGGCGCCAACAAGGTTGTCTCAGTACCAGAGGTTGGAGCAAATGAGGCAACATTTTTGGAAACGGTGGGCTGCCGAATATCGCAATAATTTGCAACAACGTTATAAATGGGCTACCATCTCCGATCAACCCAAATTGGGAGCCCTAGTACTCCTGAAAGAAGACGACGCGCCACCACTCCAGTGGCCATTGGGTCGCATTGAAGAACTTCATCCTGGGAAAGATGGTTTAACCCGGGTGGTGACTGTGCGAACAGTGCGCGGTGCATTTAAAAGGCCTGTTACAAAAATATGTGCGATTCCTATCGAAGGTGGAGTGCGTGAGTGACAGTATTTCAAACCATTTTGAACACCTTGTAACTGTTATTGTTGTTTTTCTCTTATTCATAGACATTAGAACAATACTATTGTAACATACATATTCGTTGAAACAGTGAACATTTCAACCCGGGGAGCAATGTTAACGCCAATAAATATTGTCGGGATGTTTGAGTTTATTATATGTATCCGCCGCCTAGGCCAGCTGCGGCGGCACCATTTGAGGTGCCGGCCGACAGTGCCGAAAGGGGCGGCTTGTATCTTAGCAGTGCCGAACATGTGTAAACGGCACTAAGAGTTGTACTGCAGTCGTCTGGACGAACAGACGTGTTTCGGGAAATAAATGTAGTTCTGTTAAACCAAACAGCGTTTAATTTCCACACAAACGAATTCTTAAAAAGAATTAAACACAAAATAATCCACTTATCTGGTATAAAGTTATTGTTCTTCCCACATGATTTTTCATCCAAAGGGCACATGCTGCATTGAAATAAGTTTCCAAAGGGCCAAAAAATGGGACATCTAGCGGTTGGAGCCGATGTGTACAATGAGCTGGTAAACATAACAAAACAATGCCGTGTTCCTTGGCTTTTTCAAGAGCATTTAATGATTTGTGGCTGCTGTGTCCATCCACGATTAGTAGAACTTTTTCTTCTTTTGATGGTTTCACGTGGTTAATGAAATGATCCATCCATTTACTGAAAAGATCTGAGACCATATATCCAGTTTCATAACACAATCCTAACGTTTCAGGCGGGCATCCATCAAAATACTCAGCTTTATAGTTTTTCCTGGGAAATATTAATGCTGGAGGAATAAAACGACCACCAGAACTCATACAAGCCACTACTGTTACATGTTGGCCTCTTTCGCCACTAGTAAGAGCGCCTACTTGTTTTTTTCCTTTGCGGGCAAATACCCTTGGAGGCTTATGTACTGTTGTCAAGGCAGACTCATCCATGTTATAAATTCTACTAGTAGGAATATTTTCATTAGTTATGGTGTCAGTGAGTAAGTCAAAAAATTTCTTCACCTGGACTTTATTAAAACCTTTGGCTCTTGCTGCTGACGTCGCTTCTGGAGCTCTAAGTGATATTTCCGGATGTCTTCGGCGAAACCCACTTAACCAGTCCCACCCCGCCAATTGTTTTTCTGTATTAAATTTATGAGAATAGCCTCTCTCAGTTGCAATTTTAAAGGCCAGCTGTCTTAATTCAAGAGCTGTAACACCAAATAATCTTGATTCTAAATCAAGAATATGATTAACAATTTCTTGCTCAGCTTCAAGTGGTATTGTCGTGCTCGTTCCCATTCCTTTTTGGGTACCTTTAACACGTTTATTCATATTATTTACCCGGCGTCTTAAAGTCCCAAATGGGACATTGTACATTTTAGTGGCTTTAAGCCATCCCATGCGTTTAGCTCGCACCGCATCTATAGCTTGAAGCATGTCGGCCTCAGACCATTTCTGTCGGTTTGTTTTACGAATATAATTATTTCCCATACTGCAACATAAAAGTCACATTATTGTTATTTTAGTAAGAATTTAGTTATTGTCGGGAACATATTCGGGGAATACGGCATAATATGTCATTTTACCCTGATTCCCTGTGTGCCATATTGCCCCTACCGTAGGTTATGGAAAGTTAAAGCTGATATTTTTTTAGGTTACGTTTATTTACAAAACTGAATATGGGTTAAAAAATACACATTTTAAACTGCTCTACGTTTAAATTTGATAAAGTAAAAATCCGTTTAACGAAAGTTATAGCAAATTAGATCCGTTTCAAGAAAAATTTATATTTACCTTCGAGAAAAGAATCACATGCCACCTGCTTCCAACACCGATCACAGCCATGACTGTTGGATACATCTTCACGCAAACAAAAATTCGTTATAGTTATTGGCGCCAAGTTTAAATTTTCTTTTTAGTTTCCACAGTACACATGATATGCCATTTTATCTAGTATGCCGTATTAAGCACAATTCCCCTACTTGCAGTTTGAACCATATTTGGAGGTTGTATAAGGGTTACGAAATTTTAGCCCTCGTCATTCCTTGGATGAAATTTATTAGGATTTGCGATTTTTATGAATGCGAGTTTGTGCGTATTCTTATATCATACGTGAGCGAAATGCCATTCTCACTTGCTTATAATATAGCATTTCCCTCATTTATAATATAAAATACTAGCATATCGCCCTATTATTCCTCCTATTTAATCTTCATAACAGGATTGCAGAATTTCAGCATGGCTTTCTAATTGGCAGCTCTATTTCTGCGAATCTGTGTGCATTTACGGAAGTTGTTTCTGACGATTTAGTAATTAGAGTTTATGGATTCGTCAGATATCCAATAAACTATCCACAGTTACACCAATGAACAATAGTCAGATAACGACGAATTGATAAATGCCATCAATAGACCACAAAACTGGAAATCACCAGGACCAGACAAAATACATAATTTTTGTCATGTTGTAACATTTATAATGACCCTGACCTTGAACTAGTACGTTATTGTTATTCGATAGGCTATTCTTAAAAAAAACATAATCAATAAACTAAGTGAAAACATTTTCAGTGCAGAATCTAAATAAGGCTTACTTTGCAGTATACACAGCAAAAAAACAGAGCTTATCAAACGGTTGCAACATGCATTGATAACATTGATAAAATGAATCCGTATTATCGCTTTTTATTACTAGAACGTCTAAAAACACCTTAAAAACTGTAAAGTTATATCTATTACGTTTTATCTTTCAGGTCGAAGTAATGTGTCAAAATGGGTACAATCGAATCTTATTTAAAAGTCGTGAATAACACCAACCAAGACATCATAGACACGTTAGTTTCCTCATGCGATGACCACGATTGGGACGCAAATTGCAGACCAGATAAAAACTTTCAACATCAAAAAATCCCAGCGCAAGGCGGTTCAGTCTCTCAAAGACTTGAACTTAACAAAACCGCAAGTCACTGCCCTTTCAACATGGTTTTAACCTTCGCTGATGGTACGGCCGATAAATTTCGTATTCATCAAAAACATGCCTTTGGGTGTTGTCCAGGTTTTAACCACATGGAACGTGCCCACGATATTACTTACTCCGTTTCTAATGAGAACAAACCAACACTCATTATCAAAATTGCAAATACGGATCAACAGGCCCAGAATGAGGAAGCCGAAGAGAAAAATCGAGAAGGTGAAGTTGCTTTGGAAGCGAAGAACTATGAAACTGCTATTAAGAAGTTTGACGAAGCTTTGAATTTGGCCACTCAAGATTCAGTTAGCAGCAAAATCAAAAGTAGCAAAAGTCAAGCTTTTAATCAATTTGGAGAGGAACTTTTACAAAAAGTTTGGGATTTGGAAGCTGATATTACTGAAGATAAGTCTCAAGAAATTCAAGATAAGTTAAACCAAGCGCTAAAGTTATTCCAGGATGCGGAAGCTTTATCGAATTCACCGAAATATCGGCAAAACTTGACTCTCGTTAGTTTGAAGATTGAAGGCACTCGTATTTTTAATGAGGCGAACGATCTGGAGAAAGAAGCATTTGGAATGTTTGACAATGGCGGTGGTGACAGTGTCGCTGCGCGGAATAACTACCAAGAGGCTTTGGTAAAATTTCAAGAAGCGTTAAAGAAGTTTGAGGAAGCAATGCAGCTTGATCCAGACAAGTTTGAAGATTGTGTGAGCATTGCTAGAGGGCACATTGAAGAGGTGAACAAAATGATTGATGATATTGAGAGAGTTGGGTTGAATGATTTCAGTGGACAAGAAGCTGAAAATGATGAAATGACAACAGAGGACGAAGACCGAATTGATGTGACTTTAATTTAAAGGGGTACTGTTCTTAAAAAGTTACTTACCTGTCATATATTTGTGTGTTGTTTTAAATAGAAAAGATATATACATTCGATAAACATATCTTATCGGTCTAATACGTCTAACACTTTGTTTTTGTCAAAAAAATAATTGTTTAAGTAAATGAAATATAAAATAGTTAAATAACACTTAGGCAGATGGTAGTTATTTAAATAGAAAATCAACAGTAAATACATAAATACTTTATACAGGCTGTTATGGAAAGGTAAGTACAAAATAAAATCAGTAAATGGTCTCGAAATATGTGTGCTAAAAGTAAAAAAAAAAGTAGAGACAAAAATGGTCTGCTTTTAGAGATAAAATTTTGGTTCCAAATTTGCTGTACGCTTCTGACAAAAAGGTAATTTTTTGGTTCTTTAGCAACAATTAGTCTTGGTAAAAGTTTTTTTCGTTGCTTAACAACAGTAAAATGTTGACAAATGAAATTGACGTTTGCAGCAACAGAAATTTTGGACATCGTTATAGAAGAAATAAGCATCAGCGGAAGAAGATTATCTTACCATGCAGGAGTTTGACTCGACTCTATTTCTAACGTTAAAGATCAACCACATCCAAACAATTTAGTATACCATCCAAATCCAATACATACATTGCATGCATCTATTTGTTAAAATGATATTCCTAATTTTTAGTAGTAACTACAACTTTAAATATTTCATTATTAGCCAAGAAAAAACTTATCCAGAGCAAAAACTAACCATCTATATATTAAGAAAACAGCTTTACTCAAAATTCTGAACATTAGTAATAATTGGCATCATTGATAACAGTTTCGTTCCTAACACGTAAGTGTATTGTGGGTTGCGTCAAGGTTTCTTATATGAAATTAAACAGATAATAAATTAATTATGGGACTTGTTTTACATTAACAGAGTAGTGATGCTTACAAGTTGTCAAATTTTTCCACTGGATAACGACTGGAATTACTGTAATCTTATTTGAGTATTTAAACGCCAAACTTAAATGTCTGGGTCCCAAAGAAGAGTAGGTACTGCTTTCTTATGTTCGATGAAATAAGTACTGAGCCTCGTTTTACTTTAAATATTCTTACCAAGGAATTTGAGAGATTTGAAGATTTAGGTGACGCCAAGAAAGCAAAAATTGCTGATCTGGTTCTTATGGTTAAAGGTGTGTCTAGAGAATGGAAGCAACCAATAATGTATGCGTTTTTACATGGACCTACAAAAACGATCGATTTAGCCCGGCTTTAAAAAAAACTAGGTATAATCTACATACTACTACTTAGTTTAATTGTACTAGCTACAATTAGTTACCGAGGGTAATCATTAGGCTGCTATTAATTATTTAATGATAAGTACTGTAAGGTCTAGAGATTCAAGTACAAGGTAAACTGTGTTTTATACCAGGTGAACTAAAGATTTTTATCTGTAGATGATGTAACATATAATAAGATAATAATGAAATAGATAGGCAACCTTTATATCCCCTTTACACAATCCCTTTATCAAGATAGGAATACAACATTATAATTTATAGGGTACTTTATTACTAAATTCTTTCTCTACCACTTTTTTTATAATAGAAAAAAAAACTCTCAAAATTACAAATTTTGAGAGTTTTTACTTCTTTAACCACTAATGTATGCCATTACCATTTTCTCCATGTAGGTATGTGTACAACATGTTTGGAATAATAATATTGAGCAGAAACAACAAAATTTACCTGATTATTATTTTTACAAAATATGTTCAATAATTTATCGACAGACACTATCTCTAACATAAATCCTAATTTGAATATATGGCGCAACTAAAAATCATCGTGGTAGTACCCTGATGAAACCCGCGTTATTCATGAAACATTTCACAAAATTTAATCCTACTTCCCAATTATTGCATCATTCAAAGCAAAGTACAGCCTTAAGCACTGTAGATAATGATAATTATAAACCTACACTTCACTTTCAAACCCGTTTCTTTACATTCCTGAATTACGCATGTACCAGTATACGCTAATCTGTCGATATTTTTAGCGATAATCAGCACTCCTGCACGATAAGTGAATCACGATGGCGTAACCTTGCCACAATAACAAACTATAATATGAATGTCTGCGGACCGGTGTTCTTAGTATCAGTATCACAATGTTGGTTACAGAATCGTTAATCAAAGACCTACTTGGTGTGGTGGTGGCCTTGGTTGTGGTGGTGGTTGCCTACTCCAAATGGCGGTACCAGTACTGGAAGAAAAAGAATTTGCCGTACGTACAACCCATAGTTCCATTCGGTAATTTGTCTAACCCTTTCTATAAACGAGAGAATTTCGGCGTTACCATGTTCCAACTGTACAAAGAAATGAAAGGATAGGGGTGGAAACACGGAGGAATTTTCTTTTTGACTAGACCTGCGTACTTTGTTATCGAACCCGATTACGTTAGGAACGTGATGAGCAAAGATTTTCAACATTTCGTCGACCGTGGGTTTTACTACAATGAAAAAGATGATCCACTAAGTGCACATTTATTTAGCATTGGTGGTCAGAAATGGAGGAATCTGAGGACGAAATTAACCCCGACTTTCACCTCTGGGAAGATGAAAATGATGTTCCCTACAGTGGTAGAGTGCGAAGGTGGATTACAAAAACGCATAGAGGAAGAAAGCTTAAAGAATGAACCAATCAATATTAAAGAGCTTTTGGCACGGTTCACCACAGATGTGATCGGTTCTTGTGCTTTTGGTCTCAACTGCGACACTTTTAGTGATGAAAACTCACCGTTTAGGGTATATGGTCAAAAAATTCTCACCGCTTCAGCTGTAGAAACGTTGAAGAGATTAATTGCTTTTAACTTCCCAGATATTGCGCACTTTCTATCCCTAACCGTGACCCCCAAAGATGTGGACAAGTTCTTCAGAAAAATGGTGACTGACACTGTCAACCACAGAGAGAAGAATGACGTTATTAGAAAAGATTTCATGCAGTTGTTGATAGATTTAAAAAATAACAAACTTGCTGAAGAGGACGGTTACAAACACGATGGCAAAACTTTAACTCTTGAAGAAATTGCAGCACAGAGTGTTGTTTTCTTTGTGGCGGGGTTTGAAACATCCTCCACCACAATGGCGTTTGCTTTGTACGAACTTTCGAAACATCAATACATTCAAGACAAGGTTAGGCACGAAATTAACACGGTTTTGGCGAAGCATGACAACAAGATAACCTATGAAGCAATCCAAGAAATGAAGTACATGGACCAAGTGATTGATGGTGAGATTCAAGCTACAATACCAACGCTTTATTATCGATTATTTTTCAGAAACTCTCAGGAAGTATCCCCCAGTGTCTTTTCTCACACGTGAGTGTGTCAGAGATTATAAACATCCAGATGATGACATTGTTATTGAGAAGGGTACGACAGTTGTTATTCCGACTCTTGGGTTACATTATGATGAGGACTATTTCCCTGATGCTGAAAAGTTTGATCCTGAGAGGTTCAGTGAAGAGAATAAGAATTCCAGGCATCGTTATGTGTATATTCCGTTCGGTGAAGGACCCAGGATGTGTATAGGTAAGAAAGTGCAGAGCAGTGTTGGAAGTGGGAATGAAAATGTTCTTGTAGGGATGCGTTTTGGTATAATGCAGTCGAAAGTTGGATTGGCGGCTTTGTTAAGAAGTCACATATTTACACTGAACGCAAAGACGCAGGAGCCTTTTGAATGGAGAGCAGATTCGTTTGTTTTAGCCGTGGAGGGCGACATTTGGTTGAATGCGCAGAAAGTGTGATTTTACCACTTTTTTTCCATAAATTCCATTATAAACTTAAGAGGAAGTAGATATTTACTATTTTGTTCGGGAACTTTGAGCCACCAGTTCAAACCTGTGGCATACATGAGGCTTTCAATATATATTTTTTAAATTAGATGTTACGATACTCCGATTTATAAATTAAAATTAAAAATAATTTATGTGTGGTTCAAAGGATTTCATTTGTTTACAGAATTACAAAGATTAAAAATATAATTACGTTCGGTCAGTGGATACAACATTACGTGAACAACATTGGAATTTTCCTAAGAGAAACGAATGATCTTAGGCGTCAAAAAGTATATTAAAATATTATTAATCTGTATTAGAAACTGGAAACTAAAATTAGCAAGTGTTAATGCTGTGGTGTCCCAGTTTGAATTGAAATTTCGTGTCGAGAAAAAAAACACGCGAAATCGCATTTGAAAGGCCACACTTTTGACAATGCGAAATAGCAGATAGAAAATTTGGGGATCAGTTGACCGACTCACTTCCCTTTTGGACGTGTTGCGTCACTTCTGGTGTAAAAGTGCTTGTGTAAACATGTGGTGAAAGTAAGGGTAGGTTAAATTAGTTTGTAATTTCATAGAACAGCAATTGCTTAACCGAAAATTAAATCGTACCGATGCCACAGTTTCTCTTCAAAGAGCGGAATTAATTATTACTTCATATTTTTCTAATGGGAAATGTGTGAATTTTTGCCGATATTATAAATTTTTAGTTATTGTTTGGAAATTCGTAATTTCATGTTAGGATTTTTAACTGTTCCCGGTTCTAAACACAATTCAACAGTCATGAAATGTGCTAGGAGATTCACTTATTTAGGCGTCATTTTTTGTTTATCAAGTTATAACTATGGTTTCTGGATGTTTCTACTTACGTATTACATTATAACAGATTTTTAGTTTCTCACTCGAGATTGCTAATAGTTCATTTATGATATTTATTAAACTCAGTGGCGGCTCGTCAGATGAGGCAAGTGAGGCGGCGCCTCACAGCATATGTCTTAAGAACAGATTGACTTTATAATTAAAAAAGAGTTTTCAATGCATTTTTAGTTACAAAAATATGTTGAAATGGTAAATCTGTATATGATTTTTTATTTTTTACGCTTCCTGCTGACATTTTCCGTTGAATACCGTACGATTTATGCCCCTCGTTATTTAACTGAAGCGGCCAGAACGTCGGTTCACTTGAACCAGCGAAGCCCAATCACAGACACGGATTTCCATGGCTCAGTTCCTATACTCCTATACATGCGTTCGCTCGGAACTGAGGCGATATCTTCGGTGCTTCTCGGCCAATTTCGGCGTACTCATTAAACCATTTTTCCATTTATTTTACAGAACGGTAGGGCTGCGGGGTGCGTGGGTAATTTGTATGAATGTGAATAAAAACCCACGTGTTGATGTTTCGTGTTTTTGTCTCTTTCATAGGTACAGGTGAGTGAAAAATGAATCCCGAGTACGACATCGTCATGTTGCTTCTTGAAACGCCGTTTTTACGGCGAACCGAACTAGAACGTCGGCAAATTTTGCTAAATATCGACCAGTCAAAACTGTTAATTCATTTAACTTCCATTGATAAGCGACAGAATCGTCAGTACTCGCAAGTCTTTTAAATCAACTTGGTACCTACGAAACATATAAATGGCTCTGCCGTAATATTTACACAACATCCCGGGATAGGTATAACGATTTAAAGAATTTCATCCGAAGTGCAAAGTTACATGAAAGTTCCAAAGTACACATTAAAAATTTCATGGGCTTAAAACGTTTAAAAAAGAACTCAACAACTATTTCCGAATCCCTCCAAGAAAGTTTCAACAAAATTTTGACTTGCAAAAACATTGTTGATTCAATGTGTTATGGGTGTTATTATTAGTATTATTATTATTAGGACCTACCACTGACCCGGGAATGACCGGTATTCAGGCAAGACTTCTATCATTACAAACTAGTAAGACCAAGTAATATTACTATTATTGTCAAACTTCTATCATCGCCTCACCACATCAGACAGTCACGAGCCGCCACTGATTAAACTAATTTAAACGTTGGTCCATTTTACGAGAAAGGAACTTTAAAAGTACTATATGTAGATGCATTATGTGTTGCATAAGAATAGAGAGTTGAGTTATGGAATGGTTGAAATAGAGACCTGTTTTTATTATCCCTACAATCAAGTTTAACAAACACTCAGGACAATACAGATAGGTACTATCGAAATAGGTCTAGAATTATTTAGGTCGCAGTAGCTATCTTTTTTATGCACCGGTGTTACTTGAGTGTGTTTGGGGCACTCAGGCCAGGTCAGGTCACGTCTCAAAACAACAATGTGTGAGTGATTTAAGTTTGTCAGCTACTTCTAAACCAATTAATATAATGTGATAACCCAAACTTCCCGCCTTTAAATTGACCTTGATAAGTTTGAAAGGCCCGCGAAAAATTCAAAATTTGGCTTTGGCTGTGATCGTCTAACAACAGGGAACCTACGTTGTGTTTTTTTTTTTTAATGGCGGGAAGACGTTCTTTCATACAAGTAAGCATACACTGCTTGCTAGTAGAGGGCGCAAGAAATAATAGATACAATTTTTAGGAGGGGGCAAAAAAATTGCACCCCCTCGCTAGGAGGAAAGAAGCTGCGAGCGAAGGCGACACGGACTTGCCATCTCGCATTCACTTCCCAGCCCCAAAACCCCGTATCGTACATTCACTGACATATTACATTTCAAACGAAACACCTTAAAAATATGAAAGAAAAGACGAACAAACGCAAAATCCTATACATCTGTTTGGAATCAATGCAAATACACAAGTTATTATGGGCGTATAGCGTCAGATTTTGAAGTTACGGCAGTTAATAGGAGCACAACAAAAGCAGCCCTGGGGCGTTCTAGCACAAGCGGAGTTTGGGGCTCCCGGTCGGGGCTGTTCTCCCACGACGATGATTCTATATGTTACAAGCCTATCCGCACAGCACATTACATATCCCCAGGACGAACATGCCGTCCGAAACTAGGCCGTTACGGTCACCAGACCCGCAGTTGGATTTAGGCTAGCACGAAACCGAGAACGTTACAACATCGGCGACTGCGGAGTAGTGCAGGTGACGGGATGAGATCTCGCCAGCTCTACTAAGAACCGCACCCGCTTCTGGCATATTTTCTGTGTTATTTAACCTCAATTCCATTTGAAATGTTCAATCTCTTATAACTCTGATATTAACAACAACTGAACAAGTGGTAAAGTTTCAAAGGAGCAATAAACAGCATTTAAATTCGCCATACAATCTTGTGAAATTTTAAACAACAAATAATTCTTATGTGAGATTAAAATTAGACATCAAATAATTTATACGATGGAAACATTCATCAACAAAATATTTACAAAACAAAACTTAGCAAAGATTTATGAAACAAAAGGTCTGATGTGAAATAAACTTGTTCAAATAAAAATTATGTGATGTTAAAACTGAAGAGCATGAAATTTACGTTCAATTAAAATTATACAACAAAGAAAATGTACTGAGGTTAACACTGTGAGATTGAGAAATGATGTATGAGGTGAAAAATTGCAAAGTTAATAAAATTTACATGAGATTACGACACCTTTCGAAGTCGTAGATAGTTGTAGTTATATCCATAATTTATTATATTTAAAATAATTTGTGATTGCATCAATTGTCGTCTTGCGCGGGCATAAGAGACTTCGGTCTCTGCCCGAGTGCTTCATTTTAATAATAATAATAATAATAATAATAATAATAATTAATATTAATGCTTGTCATACTTTATCAACGATTCAAATAAATGGTTTACATTATGTTAAATTATATCATGATCTAAGTGATCGATTACTCAAAACAAAAAAAATTTTAGAGTTTAGAATACTGCGAACTGGTTATTACCCCAACAAAACACATAATAAACAGACACAAAAAATATCCAAACATCGTTGCGAGGAAAAAGCGTCTCGGTGATGCAATTTTATTGTTGCGAGGGAATACCTCGATGATGTATATTTTAGCGTTGCGAGGGATAAGGCTCGTTGATGTTATCAATCTCTAGCGTTGCGAGGATATGCCTCGAAGAAGTAATCAATTTGTAGCGTTGTGAGGACAAGCCTCGATGATGTAATCAATCTTTAGCGTTGCGACGACAAGCCTCGATAATGTAATCAATCTTTAGCGCTGCGAGGACATGCCTCAGTGATGCAATCAATATACGATGATAATAACTATGATCACTCGCACCGCCTAAGTGAAGAAATTATTTTAACCCCGCGCCAGTTCGCAGTATAAATTTTGTTAATTTAACTGCCGTAAATAAACTATTAGCAATCTTGTGTGAAGAATTATGAAGTGTTATAATGCAACACTTACGTATATGCATGCAGAAACCTATTCGTAATTAAACAACAAAGAAGTTTTCCTGACTAAGTGAATTTCATGAAATCTTCTAGCAAGTGGTTTATTTAAATAATCCTAATTGTTAAATTGTGTTAACACTAGCTGACCATTGAGAAAAACTAACTTGATTGGTGAATTTACAAACAATAAAACAAATTTTCAGTACGTGTTCCGCGTTGAACGAAAGTCCGCAGTTTTTTCCGATTAAAGGGCCGCAAGAATTAGCGACACGTGTTGGGGAAAAACGATGTCGTCATCGTTACGATTAATTTTCGTTAAACAAAGGCTTTCTCCCTTTTTGTCAACTACCAAACCAACTAATTTAAATTAGCTTTTACCACGTGTTTACATTTACAAAAACATATTCAGACCTTAGATCACATAATAAATAGATACCACCATGCCGTATTCTTTCCCTAGGACAGTCTGTGACGACATCCTCCTGTCACACATCTCTCTCGTGCATGGAGGGATTACAATGAAGCTATCCTTGCCTGATCACTATTTGAATTTTGCGCGCCTAAATTTTAGGAAGTATGTCTGAACTAACTGCGGAAGAACGATGTTGACAGCTTGATTTTATAAATAATTCACAGTAGATAACGAAAGGAATAGTAAATTATTGGGCAGCAATTGTGATCCTTTATGACTACATAACTTAAAATAGGATCTTTGTTCTAAATTCTAAAATTGTTTTTTGTACAACAACTCGAAAGAGAGGTTATAAGAAACATCTGTCAAAAGCGATTTGTTGCGCTGGTGCGGTACAAGGATGGAAGTGAAATAGACATATGCAGATGAAATGCATATAACAAAGATGAAGATGTGGTGATCACACAAGGATAGCGTTATACTACCCCCCTTGACGTAGAAAACGACAACAGATAGCTTCATGTCTAGTCACAGCTTTCAGTTTGAGTATTGGTATCTATTTATTATATGATCTAAGATTCAGACTGACGCTCCGCCATGTCGCTCTCTGTCTCTACCAAGCCGCCCTCTAACTAAACACGCAGAACTAACCCCTCCGTGCATATTTGGTTGCCTATGTTGAACGATTTTTTGATTTAATGAATTTTTTTTTCTTTCAAATTCAAATTATTCAAATGTGATTTCGCGCCGCTGTTAATTAATTTCAGCGCGAAAATTTTGATTCAAATTCGGTGACCACAATAAGTCAGTTGTATTCAAATCATAAACACAACCACTATTGGAATTTTTCAAACTAGAGATGTATTTCAAAACTCCTTCCTTACTTACTGATTTCAAATGGATAGTAAGTATTTACAGTGTCTGTCATTTTGTTAAGACTAAGCAAATCATCAAATTATTGTTATCAAATTGAGCATAAATTTGCTTAGTTGATTCCTGGAAGAAGATGGCAGAAACAGTAGGAATGATATCATTAGTTATTTAGAATTTTTTTGTTTCTACTTTCGTTTAAAATTTTCCAAATTGATTTTTGTTTATTATCAGAATTTTGAATGATGTTGCTGTAGCACTGCCTTTTTGTTTTAAAAATTGCACTTCTGTAGGTGTTCCTTAGAGATGTAGCTAATTATGCACTCAGAGAATTTTTTATATTTTTTAGGTGATTGTTGAACTAGTGTTATTTAGAGTAAAATGAAAAAAATAACATTTTTTTTAGGGAAGAGGCTTATTAATTTATCTGTTAGAGATCGATTATTTTAAGTTCAACATGGTGAGTCATCAAAATCTAACAACGGACTGTCAGTCAGAAGCGTAACATGCACACTTCAGAAGGGGTTGGTTCTTAAATTAATTTTTTTGAATCGCAAACAATTACACACGGAACATAAACTTAAGTGGACTGGTTAACACGCTAGGACGAGTGCGGATGAATCTATGAGGCACTAATCTAAATAGGTACACTATGACAGAGAAAAGATGACGGACGCCTCTGAGGGTGCGCCCATTCGAAAATGCTAGATATGTTTCATTGTACTTCAGAAGCAAGGGAAGTTCTATCGAAATAACTTTCGACCAATTTTTTAAATATTTTTCTGTATCGCTTGATCTTGTTTCCGACGTGTTTTTCTGTCCAGTACTTTTGGTCAAAGTGAAGAACAGATAACTGTATTCACAGAGTCTGTAGATGTGTTTGGGTCGCTATCACCTTGGTCTTGTGTATACGATTTCCTGATTTATTAAGTAGCTCACATAATGCAGTGTTTGACTCTCTCAGTTCTAATGCAATTTTCCCTCACATTTGTTTGAATTTTCATTGATGAACGCGTCATTGTAAATATGATATTCCTTTACAAATATGTCAACTAATTTTAACAGTGTAAGAGACAGAAATATTAAACAAAAAAAAAATTAAATCATCGTGTTACAAACATTTCACAAAATTTAATTATACTTCTCAATAATTGCATCAACAAACACCTTTGCGTAGCGTAGATTTATCATTTCTTTATATTCCTACACTATGTATGTCCCACTATCTCGTAATCTATCAATTTTTTTAGCCATAATCACCACTCCTAAACGATAAGTAAGTCACGAAGGCGTAACCTTGATGCAAAATCAAACTAAGTATAATATGAAATCCTGTGGACTAGCGTGTTAATAATATCACAATGTTGGTCACAGAATCGTTAATCAAAGACCTACTTGGTGTGGTGGTGACCCTGGTTGTCGTGGTGTTTGCTTACTCCAAATGGCGTCACCAGTACTGGAAGAGAAAGAATTTACCGTACGTACGACCCAGCATTCCATTCGGTAATTTGCCTAACCCTTTCTATAAACGAGAGAATTTAGGTATTACCTTGTTCCAACTGTACAAAGAAATCAAAGGGAAGGGGTGGAAACACGGAGGAATTTTTTTTTGACCAGACCTGTGTATTTTGTTATTGAACCCGATTACGTTAGGAACGTGATGAGTAAAGACTTTCAACATTTCGTAAACCGTGGGTCTTACTACAATGAAGAAGATGACCCTTTAAGTGCACATTTGTTTGCCATTGGTGGTCAAAAATGGAGGAATCTAAGGATGAAATTAACCCCGACTTTCACATCTGCAAAGATGAAAATGATGTTCCCGACAGTGGTAGAGTGCGAAGGGGGATTACAAAAACGCATAGAGGAAGAAAGTTTAAAGAATGAACCAATCAATATTAAAGAGCTTTTGGCACGGTTCACCACAGATGTGATCGGTTCTTGTGCTTTCGGTCTCAACTGCGACACTTTTAGTGACGAAAACTCACCGTTTAGAGTGTACGGTCAAAGAATTCTCGCCGCTTCGGGTGCAGAAACATTGAAGAGATTAATTGCTTTGAACTTCCCAGGTTTTGCACACTTTCTAGCTCTAACTGTGACCCCTAAAGATGTGGACAAATTCTTCAGAAAAATGGTAACTGACACTGTCAACCATAGGGAGAAGAATAACGTTACTAGGAAAGATTTCATGCAGTTGTTGATTGATTTAAAAAATAACAAACTCGCGGAAGAAGACGGTTACAAACACGATGGCAAAACTTTAACTCTTGAAGAAATTACGGCACAGAGTGCTGTTTTTTTTGTGGCCGGATTTGAAACGTCCTCCACCACAATGGCGTTTGCTTTGTACGAACTTTCGAAACATCAATACATTCAAGACAAGGTTAGGTACGAAATTAACACGGTTTTGGCGAAGCACGACAACAAGATAACATATGAAGCAATCCAAGAAATGAAGTACATGGACCAAGTGATTGATGGTGAGTTTCAAGCTACACTACGAAGCCTTTATTATCAATTGTTTTTCAGAAACTCTCAGGAAGTATCCACCAGTGTCTTTCCTTACACGTGGGTGTCAGAGATTATTTATTTATTTTATTTATTTATTTTATTTATTTTTATTTTTTTGATTACGTTCCCCAACAGGCCGGAGGCCCAATTACAGGGGAACGGGGGACATACACAACACCCAGAGCCGGGCGGGAATCGAACCCACGACCCAGGGTGTAGCGGGCAAGCACGAAGCTACCTAACCCACCCGGGTCCTCTATAAACTTCCAGACAATGACATCGTTATTGAGAAAGGTACGATGGTTGTTATTCCGACTCTTGGGTTACATTACGACGAGGACTACTTCCCTGAAGCTGAGAAATTTGATCCTGAAAGGTTCAGTGAGGAGAATAAGAATTCCAGGCATCTTTATGTGTACATTCCGTTTGGTGAAGGACCTAGGATGTGTATAGGTAGGGAAGTGTGGAGACAGGTTTGGAAGTGGGAATGAAACTGTTTTTATAGGGATGCGTTTTGGTATTATGCAGTCAAAAGTAGGATTGGCGGCTTTGTTAAGAAGTCACAGATTTACACTGAACGCGAAGACGCAGGAGCCTTTCAAATGGAGACCAGATTCGTTTGTTTTGGCGGTGGAGGGCGACATTTGGTTGAATGGGCAAAAAGTGTGACTTTATTTTGGAACTGTGGCATGCAGGAAGTTTCCAGTATATTGGTTGAAATTAGCCGTCACCGTAGTCCAATTCAGAAAGTAAAAATAAATGAAAATTCCTCTGAGAATAAGAGCATAAATTATTAATCTAACCCTGTAGCGCCCAAACTGTATTGTTTGCCAAAATTCATAAAACTGGTAAATCCATGCCCCCAATTAAAATACTTCCTCCAGTTTCGAGGTATTACATCTTTACTACTTGAATCTTTGCAGGCCATTGCAGTCCGAACCTTTAGAACACAAATGTAAATAGTAAATAGTTACACAATGTGTCTACTTTTTGTCAACAGTCCATTAATTTTGACATATTTCCGTGACTCAACATAACCCACAACAATTTTTTATTTCAAATCATGAAAACATAGACAGAGTGACGCAATAATAGTTCAAACCGGCTCTACCAAAGAAATATCGCATCAAACCGCAACAAAGTTGATCGCTAACATTAACCCAACAATTACCGCGGTTTCGTAATAACACATCATTATCTTCCCATTATATTCATCGGATGCCATGAGATAGCAACTTTTTATTGACATAAAACCAACAAAACATACCTCGAAAGCAAAACCTGCTTGCATTTCGACTGACTCGGTGTTAAAAACAATCGTGCAATGTTCGTAGTCGTGCTTTTGGCTACTTTCCTTTCCATTCTCTTCGGGTACTACAAGTGGATTTACCAGTACTGGCAACGAAAAAATCTCCCCTTTGTGCCGCCGCAGATACCGTACGGGAACTTAACGAGTCCTTTCAGACGAAAAGAGCATGTCGGTGTGTCAATGCAAAAAATCTACAACGATATGAAAGAGAAAAAGTGGAAACACGGGGGACTTTTTTTTATTACTTCACCGGTGTACTTTGTTGCTGACGTCGATTACGTAAAAAATGTGATGGCGAAAGATTTCCAGCATTTTGTGGATCGCGGGTTCTATTACAACGAGAAAACTGATGCTTTGAGTGCGTATTTATTTGCTATTGGTGGCCCGAAATGGAGAAATTTGAGAACGAAATTGACTCCTACGTTCACGTCTGGGAAAATGAAAATGATGTTTCAAACTTTGGTCGACTGTGAAGCGAATCTTGAAGAAAAAATGGCTTTAGAATACGAGAAGAAGCAGCCTATAGATGTTAAGGAAATTCTTGGGTGCTTTACTACTGATATTATTGGCTCGTGTGCTTTTGGTCTCGACTGCAAGACTTTCCAACATGAAAATTCTCCATTTAGAGTCTACGGTAAGGAAGTTTTCGCTTCGACAACGTACAGAATTGTGAAAGCCACCTTTGCCAATACTTTTCCTGACTTGTCTAGAAGCTTAGGAATTGTAGTAACCCCAAAAGATATCACCGCTTTTTTTATGAAAGTTGTTAAAGACACAGTTAATTACAGAGAAAAAAATAGTTATACGAGAAAAGACTTCATGCAGCTGCTGATCGACATCAAAAATAATAAACTTGTTGAAGAAGATGGGTACAAATTTGATGGCAAAACGTTAACTATAGAAGAAGTGGCAGCCCAGTGCTTTGTGTTTTTCTTGGCGGGCTTTGAAACTTCATCTACAACAATGACTTTCGCTTTATACGAATTGTCAAAACACAAACACATCCAAGACAAACTTAGAGACGAAATTACAACCGTTTTGGCAAAACATAACGGAAAAATCACCTACGAGTCAATCCAAGACATGAAATACATGAATCAAGTCATCGATGGTAAGTCCTCTTTGATAATAAAACTGCAATTCTAATACAAATTTTCCAGAAACCTTGAGAAAGTACCCACCGATACCTTTCTTAACACGCAAGTGCGTCAAGGACTACAAGGTTCCAGACGAGGATGTTGTCATCGAAAAAGGTACAATGGTTATAATTCCGGTACTTGGCATCCACTACGACAAGGAATTTTATCCCGATCCTGAGAAGTTCGATCCTGAACGTTTCACTGAAGAAAATAAGAGATTGAGGCACCAGTACGCGCACATTCCATTTGGTGAAGGTCCAAGAATATGTATAGGAATGCGATTCGGGCTCATGCAAACAAAAGTTGGTTTGGCTTCTTTGCTAAGCAAATATGAGTTTAGTGTTAGTTCTAAGACGCAAGAACCTTTAAAAGCGCAACCGAAATCGTTCGTTTTGGCTGCAGAAGGAGAGATTTGGTTGGATGCGCAAAAAGTAGCGTAGTTGGTGATGATGTAATGGATATAGTTAATTTTGTGAATCAAGTTGTAGAAATTGTTATGCCTGTTTTATTTTGTTCATTAATAAAAATATTAGTTGGTGTCCAAGTTCTGTACTGTTACCGTTGTATAATTTTCTATTTTTGTGTTATCTTCCAAGCAAAAGTTACGAGTACAACACGACAACTAGTTTCTTACAAAAATTTTAAAATTTCATTTTGTTAACTTATTTTTCTAATGACAAGACTTATAAGATAAACAAAAAATAAAAAAAAATAATATGAATGCAATAATACGGATTTATAATTAACACAAGTTTAGAAATATGTTATTTGATCAAAATTTAAATAGTGTTTACTACACAAAATTTTGTGATGACGTCACAGGTTATTGATGCGGATGATCTGACAAATTTTGATTGGCGTTTATAGATATTGGAATTCCATGACTTGTTCAATCTTCCGTTTTTCTATTTCCAATTTGCATCTAATAAGTTCTCTTGATATTACCATGGACTCTCTTTTATTTGTTGATACTGTCATATATGTTTTTGGCTGTTGTTAGCCTTCGGTGGAGTAGCATTTATAGATTATCTTCAGTGTCAGCTATTAATATCGCATCATCCGCATAGTATATTATGTTTATTTTGTTGTTGTTCATCCTATAACCTTCCAACATTTTTGTGATATTTATCAGATTGTCCATTATCAAGTTGAACATGATTGGGCTTAGTGAATCCCCCTGACGTATACCCCCTTTGCATTCAATGTGTCGTGTAGTTTGGCTTCCAATCTGAGTTTGTGTTCTTCTATTTGTATAGATGTCTTCTATGATGACGTCAGATAGTCTTACTCGATCAAAGACCGGAACGTTGTATTCGATCGCTTTCTCTACTGTTTGGCGAATTATAAATATGGCGTCAGTGGTGGATCGATTCAGGCGAAATCCTCCATTTATTTCTAAGTATGGTTGAAGTTTTTTCAGTATTATTTTTGTCATTAGGTAATCTTGTCCAGGGATCTTTCTGTTTCTCAACGTATTCAGTGTTCTGCCTTTCTTCTGTTATTTATTGTATCTTTTTATCTTCATCATATTCATTCAGTTTCTGTTAAGGATGTCGATAATTCTTCTTCATTTTGGTGTAATTGTTAGAAATATGCTTCCCATCAAGCTGTAGTAATGAAGTTAACTTTAACGGTTTCGTTAATTTCTGCTTTCCTATTTCTGAGCATTCTCCAGATTTTCTTCTGAGATCCATACATATCTCTTGCCATGCCACTTCTAAATTTTTCCCAGTATGACTCCTTAATTTCTCTTATTTTTCAGTTGGCGATGTTTGTCTCATCTATGTATAGTTGCTTATCTTGAGGCGTTTGTGTTGTTTTGTATCTTAGAAATGTTTTTCTCTTTTTATATTATGTAATCTCTTTTACCTCTTTCGTGAACCATAGTGTTTTATTGTATTTGGACTGTATTTGTACACTTCTTTTCCGTATTGCTTCTTGAGTCGTGTTTTGAAATCTCTTATGCTGTGATTCTCTAGTGATTCTATGTTCAATTTTTTTTATGTTCATCCTTGTTCTGCCTGGTATGCAATATTTCAATTTTATTTTACATGCAAGTAATGCATGATCATTGATCAATATTTATATTAGCTGAGTTTAGCGTCCTCTCTTCGAAAATTTCTGAGGGTCTGACTGAACTGTCTATTCGTTATGTTATATTATAACATAGTCTAACATAGAATGCTGTACATATCCATTTAAAAAAAAAAACGCTCTCTCAAGGTATTAAAGTAAAATAAAAACGCTTAAAGATGATTTAAAAATCACAAATAAAGGTTTATACATATGTATTATTACACAGTTTTAAATTATATAAGTATATCTAAACATTTATTTAATTATAAAAGTCATTATCATCAAAATCACTAATAAATGGATAACAAGTGTCATCAAAACTGATTATTAAGTATTATTGGTTCTTCAGTTCTGACCTCGATAATAATCGTTTCGTTTTTCCAGTAATTCTCCTATGCATTTATCACATTATTACATTTCACTTTCCATGCATTATTTAGTTTAAATATAGTGTTTGCTTTTGCAATATAATTTCTATACTATGTAAATTCGGATGATATGGTGGTAATTTCAAAACGGTATGCCCAATTTCCAGTGGCGGCTCGTGACCTTTTGAAATGGGGGGACACAATTTGATTGATTAGTTAAATATGAATTTATAAAACAAGTTGTTAAGTTGTTATTACCAATTAATAGACGAAATTGTGTCACGGAAATAAATACAAAACTACATTGAATAAAAGTAAAAAAGTACTTGTCCACATACCTTTGGTTTTAAATCATTACTTTTTTCGACTCCCATCGCGTTATCAGGTCCATAACGACGCTGTTAATCGTACTCTAAATACTCAAGGGCTAGTTTCATAATCAAAAGTTAAAGGACCTTTATCTAATGGGAGCTTTAAACCATTGTCTTAACAATGTGTTTCCATGGTAAAAATCCACCTTTAATTTTAAAGCTCCTTAAACTTGATTATGAAATCGGCCCTTAGTTACGAATACCCTTGCGTTATGAAACCGTACTAGCACGTTATATACAGGGTGTTATTGAAAGGTACGTACAACAAAATGGACAGTTCTTCGCAAAATCTAAGAAGCCGAAAAAACTTATTTTGTGTTATCAAAATTATAAGGGAAAAATTAACCCTTATCCAACCTTTTAGACGCTACTGAAGGATAAATAGGTAAAATTAATTTATTTTAGTAAATCCTAGAAACTGTAACAATAAAACTTTTGTCAAGACTAAATGTTGCTATAGAAACGAAATATGATTTTTTTTATCAGAGGCGTACAACGAATTTGGACATAAATTTTAATAATTTTTATCTCTAAAAGGAGAACACTTTTACCTCAACTTTTTTTAACTTTTAGCACCCACACTTCGAGACCAATTACCGATTTTATTTTGTACGTACTTTTCAATAGCAGGCTGTATTACATAGCAGTGTTGGAGTATTTTAATTTTTTAAAAAAAGTCGTTCGTCAAAAATTTTACATTTTTAGCTAAAGAAAGGTAGCGCAGTGCAGGATCAAAGTAATGTAACGAAATAAATTCATACGCCGCCTTGGTACGACGCTTATGGACCGTCGAGAACTCTCTGGTCTTACGCCGTTGATGATTCATCCTCAATGCGACGGAGCGACGGAGCGCTAAAGAAACGCCTGGAAACGGAGTCGCGAATGGGAGTTCCGGAGAATTCTAGAAGCGGTGACGTAGGCGTTTCGAGATGGACCGCGTGCTGTCCACCTTCGGGAACGGATTATTCAGCTAGTTGAGTCAAGAGACGTTGCGCCAGAATTATTTTATAATCACTGTAATAATTATTATTAGTTGTGTAAATTCGAATTAGTAAGAAATAAATTATTGAGTTTCATCCACGCCGAATTTATTTGCCCGCAAAACGTAACAGTAATTTTAGTTAAACAGAAAATTACTAGAAAAATATCTCTTCTTATTTTATTTCAGGAGCTCAATTTAAGGAGTTCATTTTTACGTTGGCAGTGCATGATGGGTCTGACAGTTAACAAAACATATTGTTTATTTGTAATTTGTATGGTACTTTGTTTACTTGTGAAAATCAAAGTAAAACACAATTCGGAAGTCCTATTGGTGATTGGTAGAGTTATTAGTGAAGAAAGAACACTGACAAATGCAGAGGAAAAATTGATTCCAAAAACAATTGATTCAAAAATTGCAGAAATTTAAAAACTGGAAAAATATATTGACGTTATAACACGATTCAATTTTCATCTTCCCAATCCCATTTGTAAAAATTTCATAGAGGGTCACAGTTACTAATTGGTTCGTGTTTCCGTCTGGATCAAATAGGTATGTACTTGCTTGTACATCATTATTGACTGTAAAAGTAAAAATCAAAATTGGCAGTTTTATTAGGCGTAACAGTTATCTAATAATAATTAGATAACATATTAAAACATTTTGAGTATGCAACAGTTTTTTTTATTATGTTTCTCTCAATGCTAAATATGTAAAACCATCTAATATTTTGTCTCCCGTTTTGTCATGAACATTTTTTTTATCAATAAATTGGGTCTAAATTTTTCACTAAAATTTTACCGTTGTAAGACAGAGGACGATTTTTTTATCAAATATTCAACTGAATTTATTATTTTTATTTAAAATCAAACAATTTCACCCGCGCAGAATGAAAATGAAATTCCGTAACTGAGTCACTGTTCGAGCAGGACTCGATTCCAGCTAAATATAGCGATATGATAATTATGCCCCAAATTTTCGGATAATTTTCTAAATATTGAAAATTCATGTTTTGCCAGTATATGTCCAATGTGTACCCTTCCCCACTGGCACCAGCCACCCCTGCCAATTTCACTCAAAGATCCGTGACTTCAACATTTTTGGTGAGATGTGTAAATATTTTTCAGTCAGCTAGGCAGCCTTTCTAGAGTTGCTGTTAAGTCTATGATTTATTTGCACATCATACATTAGAGTAATTTTGAGAGGAGGAGTTTACGATGCAATTAAAAATTAGTCTTATTTATTCTCCTCACTTACTACATTGGAAAAAGTGAGGTTAGGTTAGACGATCTATGACAGTTGTCATCGCTCATACATTTGAATTTCAGCGCAGACAGACTTAAAAGAAAATCAATGGCAGCTTGATGAATTTTTTAAATGAAGAGCTGTTCTGACGTGGAAAATGAAAATGCTTTTCTAATTTGAAACGATTAAAAACCGTTTTAGAAATAACTGGGTCAAGAAAAATTCTGTGCGTTAGCTAATATGAATAGGTAAGCTAACTTACTACGTATTTGCGAATGAATTATTTGATAGTTATACGGACATGCAACGAGAAATTGAATATTCAAAGGAAATGATAAATAGATACCAAACACAAACACAAGTAAGACTTACAAATTTTGGAGGTAATATGTTAGTCAGTAACGTTGTGAATAAATACAAATTCTATGATCCATTGCATAGAAACAAGGATTTACTTTCAATTAAACTTTGTGTGGAACATCCAAACCCTATAGTTAGCTACAAAACGTAGGTATGTAAAACTTTACACAGTTGTACAATTTATCAAATTTATTTTTATTATTAAACATTTGCTTCCAAGGAAAATCTTATTTGTGTATTACGTGATAAGAAAGAGCCAATAGGATTAAATTTTATGACACATGAGAATTGGTGACTACTTTCAATAATTAAATTCAAGTAAAACACATTTATTTTGTTGAGGATAAAATTTATGGTAAGAGCAATGCAAAGATAGTAACAATAATATCACCAACAAACAAATAGTAAGTACTTAAACAAATGTGAAAAATATAATTGAGCGAGGTCAAAAAAAATTAAATGACATAAATTTGTTAAGCACAGTAAACACCTACATATTTTTTACAGTGTTTCGTTTAAATTGATTTAGCGAGGTCTTTAGTTGTAAATTTCGTTAGTAATGTGTACAAAAATGATATAGTTAGTGTCTCGGTGGTTCCTCATATTTAATATTTACCGCCTTAAGTTCAACTTATGTGAGTTTTGGTGCCGCTGGGGTCGTCATCGTGAAAATTAAAATCATTACAGGTATGATGTTATTTATTTTCAAAGTATAGGTATGTACTATTAACCCAAAGGAAAATGTATGAATTATTAAATAACCCCACGGTACATTTATTGTTGGTAATACATTTTTAAAACAATAACTAATGCTTGTTTTATTTGCACTTGACTTAAGTACCAACTACAATTACCTATTTAATTTTTTTACTTGTATTATTGTACATAAACTAAAAAAATATCACTTTATGTAAATTTTGAACACATAAGGTCCAAGTATTGCTATATTATTTCAGTCTTCGAATCAACGCCTAAGCGAAAATTCAACGAGACTAAATTTTGATTAAAAAAATAAAAATGTTTATTTGGACTGCGCTGGGAACCATTTCAGTTACTGTAATAGTGTATTATATATGGGCTTTTCAATACTGGAAACGAAGAAACCTGCCGTTTTTGCAACCACAAATACCCTTTGGAAACGTTCCAAATCCTTTCACGTGCAAAGAACATATGGGTATAACAATGCAAAAAGTTTACAAAGAAATGAAGAAAAGAAAATGGAAGCACGGAGGAGTATATCAACTGACAACTCCAATATACGTTGTCGTAGATTTGGACTTTGTCAAAAACATAATGGCTAAAGATTTCGAATACTTCGGGGATCGTGGAACGTACTATAACGAAAAAGACGACCCTGTTAGTGCCCACTTGTTTGCTATGGCGGGCTCTAAATGGAAAAATTTAAGGACCAAATTGACTCCTTCTTTCACACCGGGAAAAATTAAAGCGATGTTCCAAATTTTACTAGAGTGTGAAGCCAAACTACAAGAAAAAATGTTACTAGAATACAACAAGAAGCAACCTATAAACATCAAAGACGTTCTAAACTGCTTCACCATCGAAATAATTGTTTCTTGTGTTTTTGGTCTAGCTTGTAAGACCGACAAAGACGAAACTTCTCCCTTTAAGATGTACGGAGAGCATCTATTTAGTTCGGCTAGTTTCGTCAAAATCGTATTCGCTTCGACCTGTCCTGATTTGGCTAGACGATTAGGTGTTCGTTTGACACCGAAGGCAGCAAGCGACTTTTTTCTTCAAGTTGCGCAAAAGTGTGTTGCCTATAGAGAAAATAATAATCGTGGTCATAACGACTTCTTGCAACTTTTGGTGGACATGAAGAATAACAATGTTTTGACCCTCGAACAAATAGCAGCCCAAATTTTTGTTTTCTTTTTGGCTGGGTTCGAAACTTCTGCAAATTTGACAACTTTTGTTTTATATGAACTTTCCAAAAATCAAGACATACAAGAGAAGGCGAGAGCAGAAATTGAAACGGTTTTAATCAAATCTGGTGGTAAAATCACGTATGAATCCCTCCAAGATTTGAAATTCGTTAGTCAAATCATTGATGGTGACTTTCTTTTTTCTTGACTATACTGTTGTTATTTTTATTATTTTACAGAAAGTATGAGAAAATATCCACCTTTGCTGCAAATTCCAAGAAAATGTGTCCAAAATTATAAAGTTCCAGGTGAAGACGTTATTATTGAGAAAGGTACTTGTGTAGTGATTCCAGTTCTTGCTATCCATTATGACGAAGAATATTACCCCAATCCCGAGAAATTTGATCCTGAACGTTTCACCGAAGAAAATAAGAAGTTGAGACATCAATATTCGCATATACCATTTGGGGAGGGCCCGAGGATTTGTATAGCGAAACGTTTTGGAATGCTCAATGTAAAATTAGGTTTGGTTTCTTTATTAAAGCATTATAAATTTACTGTCGATGCAAGAACGATGGAACCTTTGAGAATGATAGTGAATAGTTTTGTAACAGCTGCCGAAGGTGACATTTGGTTGAATGTCGAAAAGATATAGTTCTGGTGGTTTTGTAAAATTTTTCAGTTTATTTGGGAATTAATGGATTTTAAACACGCTGCATTGGTGTTTGGTGATTGGTAATTAAAGTTTGAGAATTTCACTTAGTTTTTTTTTTGAAGTTACCTGACAACTTTATAACAATGAAAGCTACATATACAACATATTACATATCTTTAAATATTTATTTCATTATCAAAATCATTCCATGGATCACAAGTGTCATCAAAACTAATTACTCTATTATTTATTATTATAGGTTCTGACGTCAATAATCGTTTCATTTTTCCAGTAATTCTCCTCTGCATTTATCATATGATTACAAAGTTTAATACAGTCCGGCGTTGTAATTAAAGAGAACTCGTTTTCCGTCAGTTTCCATACATCATTTAGTTTAAAAGTTGTGTTTTCTTTTGCAATGTCACTTTTCACTGTAGCCTATGCCATTTCTGGAGTATCTAAATCCGGATAATATGCTGGTAATTTGAAAAGGGAGGAAATGTGTTAGTCAGTAACGCTACGAGTAAGTATAAATTGTATAATCCATTGAATTTATGTGATTTCTCTTAACTTAGGTACATGCAGGAGTAGCCAATGATAAAAAATAAGGATTTATTTTCAATTAAACTTTTTGTGGATCATCCGAGCCCTATAGTTAGCTACAAGACGTATGTAAAACTTTTATACAAAGTTGTTCACATTAAAAAATTTGTTGAGGATAAAATTTATGGTAAGAGTAGTACAAAGATAGTAACAATAATATCGCCAACAAAAAAAGAATTGACGAAGGTCAAAATTTTGAACGACATGAATTTATTAAGCACAGTAAACCTACATATTTGTTACATTGTTCCGTTTAAATTAATTAATCGAGGTTTGTAGTTCTAAATTATTTTAGCAATATTTACAAAACTGATATAGTCAGTATTTCGGTTGTTCTTCATATTTTTTGACAGACAATAATTTTTATCGTTTTGAGTTCAACTGACGTGAGTTTTGGTGCCGCTGGGGTCCTGATTCTTTTGAGAAAATTAAAAGGTAAGATAACTACGTTAAATGGTTTTTTGTCATTACTGATATAATGGTGTTTTTTTTTAAAGTGTATGTACCAGTAATCCAGAGAAAAACGTATGAATTATTAAATAACCCCACGGTATATTTTTTGTTGATAATACATTTTTAAAACAAAAATTAATGCCTCTATACCGAGGAGGGTAGAATAAGAACGGAGGGAGCATGTCGTATGCTTTCAATGGTACGGTTTTGGCCCAAAATCAACTACCGCAAACACCGTTTACGATCGGTCTGTCGACTGTGCGCATGTGCGAGCTGGCTACAAACTCGAGAAAAGCCCATCGTACTCCATGGGCGTACATCTCAGTTATTTTGTTCCATCACGTGCTGTGTATCTTTATACTTTGAGCCGTTTTGTTTTTAATAAATTCCACATGGTGAACTGCAAACTTTGTAAGTCGTGGAATGGTAGTAAACAATGTGTGAAAGACAGACTTAGTTTTCATAAGTAAGTAATAAATGTATAACTTGAGTAACTTTGCCCGCCACTGTTTAGCGATTCTCTCGAAACTGGGGGCGTGGTTTAGCTGAGCGCGTATTCCAAACACCGTCATAAACGGTGTCTAGATTTCGGACGGTCGGTGCCACATTTTTCGACCGTATTATCCCTCCGTTCTTATTCTACCCTCCTCGCTCTATACACACTACAATCCATTTAATTTTTATATTTGCATTCTTGCACATAAATTAAACAAATATCGCTTTATGTAAATTTTAAACAAATAAGGTCGAAGTAGTGCAACAATTACATGTTTCAGTTTTCTAATCAAGACGTAAGTGAAAATTCAACGTGACTTAAGCTTCATTAAAAAAATATTCAATACGTCTATTAGTTTGTCACAGAGGAAAAATATAAATGTTTATTGGTTGAGAACCATTTTAGTTGCTGTAATGGGTACCGTGAGGTTTTTTTCTTTTCTGAACATAGGATAATTAATGTTAAGTTGGTTGCATACCTGCTTGTAATGGATTGACTTTTTAAAAGTGAACATAAAATCTAGTCGAGATTTAGGATATGTCAAAGATATTGCCATTGACATTTGGCACTACTCTCTTTATGTTAAGGTATTGTAATAAGTACAAGTTTAAAGAATAGAAAATTTACGTTAGTGAACTTTTTAAAACAATTTCGTCAAAAAATTTACTGTAAATGTCATCGTTGACATCGCCTACTCCTCATTATAATGAATCTTATGTGATCTTAAGGTACGTGTCCACTAGAGAGTGACTTGGCGAGAATTCGCGAGAGTTACTTTCAAGGGCTTGTCGATTTGAGAGGATAATTTGGCAAATTTTGCTCGCCGATAGATGTCGATCAAACAAAGCTCTCAAAACCCGATCCACTACACAGTTGCACTTGCGAGGAAAATGGACCCTCTTTACTCGAACCGACAAAGAATTTATGATTTTACGAGCCTTTTGTTAATTTATTTTTCAAGAAATGCGGTAAAATATTGCAGCTGTGAAAACAGGTAGTAAGAGGACATAAATTATTATGTGGACCTAAAATTGTGCTAAGAAATACGCAAATGCACGATGTTATTTCTATTCATGAAAGAGTAATAGTAACATTACATTTTTTTGTATCAGGTACATATGTAAAAGTATTATGTAAATCATCGAACAAAATAAGGTGTTCTCCATAAGTTATGTCACGCACATTTTGGGGATTTTGGACCCTTTTTTTCTGTGTCACAGGTTGTCACATTTATATGATCCCACCCTCTATTATAATGTCATATAATTTTAATGTAGAGTTGATTTTGATTAAATCAACATTGCCATTATTACTCTTATTTAATATTATGTAAAATCTTCTTTCCACATATCTCTTAAAAATGTAAAAAATTGGTCGAAAGTTGTTTCGACAGAACTTCCCTCGCACCGAAAGAACAATGAAACATATGTAACATTTTCGAGTTGAGTTTTTTCTCTACACAATTTTGTGATGACGTCATCAACATTTTTGCAAAGTCACGTATATCAACTTGGATTGGTGCAGTATAATACTAAAAATAACAATAGATGAATATGAATATGAATGCAGTTATAAACCACAATTAAAAACTCAACATATTTTGCACACTTTGGATAGAATTTATTCTCAAAAATTTTGAGATGACGTCATCAAGCTTTTGTTGGGAATAAACATATATATTTTGATTAACAATTTACCACGCTTACAATAACCTTAAAACGTCTGGAAGATTTCAAAGTATTCAGTTTTGCAATTTTTGTGTTATTCAGTAAAATAAATTCACGCATTCATTTTTTTTGAGTCACCCTCTATAAGCACATCTAAAAAATATGAACACAATAATAAATTACAAGTATTAAACTGATCATATATATTTTGCACATTTCGGGTGGAATTTATTCGGCAAAATTTTGAACTGACGTTATCAATTTTTTGGAGGGGATAAGTAAATATATTTTGATTAAAAATTTATTATGCTTATCATAACTTTAAAACAGCTGTAAGAATCAAAATTAAATTGTAAAATGTTGTTTTATGTTTTCTTTTCCAAAAATCTGGAATCGGCCCAGTACTTTTGGAGATTATCTGTCTAATAAAAATCGGGACGGCAGTCGTTTCTCATGACAAAATCTTGTAGAAATCTCCTTATTTAACATTTGTCTTTCAATTCAGTCCGGAAATTTTTAGGTAAGCTTTCCAAAAAGATCTTTTCTGGAATAGAATTCTTTTGGTCCGCTTCTCATCTCGTTAGTTTTCAACTGTTCGAATCCAATTCACTTTGTTAGTTTTAATTAATATTACATCTTCTCAAAAGAACGCATTTTTTGTGACACAATTTGCCATTTACAAGCAAGTTCTCCATATCTTTTGTATAACCTCTTTCTTCCCAATATTTCTCTACTCTTCAAATTTACATCAGTACTAATTCACTTCTTTTGATACCACGTGTATCAGTTTCACTGTTCAGTTAATTCACACTTTTGGCAGTTGGTAACACTTTATATGATTCAAGCTGGTTTTTGATCCTAATATTTAACGAAAAAATTTTGATTAACGCTTTTTAATCACGATGCAAGATTTCAGATCATTCAGTTTTGCGGTTTCAAAGTCGCTTGCAAAATGTTATATAATTTTTATTTTTCTTTCCAAAAACATGGATATCCTATTATTGGAGACGTATATTTAATTGAGCTTCTGTAAACCGGGTCATAATGTTTAAAGATAAGCAAAATTAGAAAAAAAACAACAGCCAAATTGTTAGTATTTACTAAATAGCAAGGAATTTTTCAAGTCTTGCTCGTTATGGTTCCAAGTATTTTATTCGCTGGAACCGAAGTTTTATAGTTTCAGGAAAAACCACGAGTTACACAGTCAGATACCCAGGAATCCCTTTGGGGCTTTATATTGTGTATAGTCTACACATCTACCTTCCCTGCTCTTTTCTTATAATCTGAACAATATCATTATGCTGACGCCACAGAGTTGTACATGTATATGTTTTTCTTTAAGTGAAAATCAACAACCAATTGCTGTTGTTGACTATGATCCAGAGAATCTTTGCCTATAATATTCTAAAAGCAATATGCTAAGACCAGTGCAAAGTAAGTAACAACAACATAGTCAAAAAACAAACTAAAAATAAACAAAATGATAGCTAGTCAAATTTACTATGTGAATAAATTTCCAAAATAAAGGGGTACAAGGTCGAATAAAACGTTAAGCGACAAAAGTTTGTTAAGCGCTGTAAATGCTCCTACCTCGTGGTCACTTTTAAATGATTTATCTAGGTCTTTGGGAATGGTTTTAAGAATTTTTTAGAAAATGTTTGTAAGAATTATATGGTTAGTATGTGGATCGATCATTTTTCACATTTTTGGAACATTTTCAGAAAAAATAACCTGTCCTGTGTTAAGTCTAACGAACGTAAGTTTTGGTGTCACGTGTTGCTGCTAGTGTAGTGGTCGTTTTGTGAAAAAAGAAATTGTAAAATGACTCTTTTACTTGTTACTTACTTAGTCATTTTCATTATAGCGTTGTTTATTTTCAAAGTATATGTACCAGTATCTTGTGAAAAAGTATGTAAAATTTAAATAATCCCACGCTATGTACATTGTCATTAACAATTTTTTAATTTCCAGTTAGTTCTTGCTTTCATGGCGTTCGCAGTATGTTTAAGTATCGTACAAATATGTTTAACTGTCATGTCTTTGTTCACATATATGTGGTAAATTTAAACCAATATTGTATGTTTGAAATATATATCTAAATAATACTTCAGATACACATATTATTGTACAATCTTTGATTAAGTCATAAGAATAAAAATCTTCAAAAGCTCCCGAAGTCATTCAGATGTAAGGAAGACCGGCATAACGATGAAAAAAGTTTACAAAGAAATGAAGAAAAGAAAATGGAATGAGGAAAAATTGTAAATTTGTACTTTGTCTAAAACACGATAACAACAGATTTCAAGTATTTCGTGGATGGTGAAGTGTACTATAACGAAAAAGACGACCCTATTAGTGTCCACTTGGTCGCTACTGGAGGCCCCAAGTGCAAATATTCTTAAGACCAAACTTCGACTTCTGCTTTCACACCAGGAAAATTGAAGCGATGTTCCATATATTTCCTTTTATTACAATGTCTCTTGTTCGTTGTACAAAAAGAAAAATGAATTAATTATGAACATCTTTACCACGACAATAAACAATTGTTGCTTCTGGATTCTTCATTCTATTAATGTGTGCTTTAATTACGGAAAATTCACCATTATTTCGGGTACCTATAGACTTTATGTGAAGACCATCTATACGGAAGATGTAATTCTACCAACGTTTTGCATTATTATATTTATGCCAATAAAATTTTTCAACATTTGTAGTATTTTCAAGTTCAGGATCTATAGTGGTGTTCAATTTTTTCTTTTAGTTAATTCCATCCAGTCTGAAAGCTTTGACATATTTGATATTTCTTTCATGTAAGTATATTTAACTAAAGAACTAGAAACATTTTTCCAATCGTTAAAATCTGTTAGGAACTTATTAATATCTTCCAAGAACAATTTACTACAGAGACAAGCTGTTTGTGGATTTAGCCAGCTTCTTTTAATTTTTCCTCCCCTATACGAGTACTAGCTACTTGGAAAATGGCTGATTAACTCTTCAGTAGGTTATGTGCGGGGGTTTCGGGAGTCCTAAAAATAATGAAAAAAATCTTTATGACGTGATAGGATAGAAAGAATATTGCAAGCTGAAGAACAAATTTTGGAACGCGTCAAAGACGAGCCCGACATCAGCACTCGCCGACTTGCACCTGAAGTTGAAGTTTCATAGTTTCTAGTACATTAAAAAAAATAAAACCTATATCCATACCCCGTTCAAAAAGTGCAAGCCCGGTGATTTTCCAAGTCTTGTAATTTACTGCAAATGGTTGTTACAGCAATGTCATGAACGCTCTAACTTTTTAAATTCCATTCTGTTTACAGATCAAGCAGGATTTACTCGCAATGCTATTTTCAACAGCCACAACACTCACATTTGGTCCAATGAAAATCCAGGCGCTCGTCAAGAAGTGTGTTTCAAGGGTGATTTTAATGACCGCACATTTTGTTAGGACACAACTGGTTAAGATACCATTTTCCTAACTATTGGGTCAGTAGAAACGGCCCATTAGCTTAGTCTCCGCGTTCACCCGTTCTCAATCAAAACGCATTACCAAAAATCGGTCCTTCTCAGGACTACCATTTGTTTCTAGAACTACTATTCTTTCGCACTGACCCTTAACGTTGAATGGTGACTAGACTTTCACCACCTGTCCCAAATATAATTCTTCTGGTAGTCTTCTTCTCTCGTTATTTCCCATCTTTTACAATCTGCAGCAATATTAATTTGCATTGTTCAGTTAATTCTCGCTCAACATACATATGACCCAAAGGATGGTGGTCGAGATTCTACAAACAAATTATTTTACTTTGTTCCATAGTGTCTCTTTTTGCAACTTTCGTATCACGAGCGTTATGAGTCATCACCATTACCTCTTTGACTCCCCGCTCTCGGAGTAAGCGTCGTTTGAAGTCTTTTTACATTTTGTTTAAAAGAACTATTATCTGCGGTATAATTAGTCATTTGTGAGCAAGTTTGATTTATTTTTCCTTTTATTCTAACATTATGCCAATAAATTATTTTTAATGACTTACTTTTTATTGTAGCAACGAATCATAAAAACAATATAATTTGAACGGTTAAACAACGATAGCAGAGCTGATAATCCGCCTTTAGTGTCAACTTTTTTTTGTGTTTTTGACTCAGTTGATAATATTTTTTGTCATTCCGTATTTATCGTGTTTTTAGACAAAGAAGCAGTTCTTATAAAATGTTAATTGTAACATTCGGGGTGTTGTCTTTAACCCTCATCTTGGTATACTACAAATGGAGACACCAGTACTGGAGACGAAAAAACGTACCTTTTTTGACACCAAGCATACCATTTGGTAACCTGAAGAATCCTTTCAACCTCAAAGAAAATGTTGGCGAAACGATTCACACGATCTACAATGAAATGAAAAAGCGGAAATGGAAGCACGGAGGGATATACCAATTTACGTCTCCTGTTTATGTTGTCCTTGATTTAGAGTACGTCAAAAACATACTAACGAAAGATTTTGATCACTTCATAGATCGTGGGTTTTACTATAACGAGAAAGATGACCCCCTTAGTGCCCACCTTTTTGCTCTCGGTGGCTCAAAATGGCGAAATTTGAGACACAAAATTAGCCCCACTTTCACTTCTGGGAAAATGAAGCTCATGTTTCCAAGTATGGTGGAATGTGCAAAAAATCTGGAAGAAAGACTTCGTGTAGAATTCGAGAAAAACGAACCAATAGACATCAGAGAGGTTCTGGCTTGCTATACGACCGATATTATAGGTAGCTGCGCTTTTGGTTTAGATATTAAATCTTTCAAAGATTCCAATTCCCCGTTTAGAGTGTACGGGAGGAAAGTTTTCGCTGAGACAAATGCTATTAAGATGACTTTCGCAACAACTTTTCCTGATTTTTCGCGTAAGTTGAGACTTATTTTAAGTCCTAACGATGCAACAGAATTTTTTCTCAATGTTGTTAAGGAGAATGTCAGCTACAGAGAAAAAAATTCGTATTTTCGTAACGACTTTATACAACTACTGACCGAAATAAAGAACAAACGCAAGTGCGATGAAACAGACAACTTAACCGTTGAAGAAATAGCAGCCCAGTGTTTTGTCTTCTTTTTGGCAGGTTTTGAAACCTCATCCAATACTATGGCTTATGCGTTTTACGAACTTGCTCGTCATCAGGATGTTCAGGACAAACTTAGAGACGAAATTCAAACGGTTATGAAAAGACATGATGGAAAAATTTCCTACAGTTCGCTACAAGAACTGAAATACATGGACCAAGTCCTAGACGGTGAGTTATTTCTCATTAATAAATAGCAAAACCTTGATTAGCCGTTTCCAGAAACACTGAGAAAATATCCAACGCTTTTCTCCATAACTCGACGGTGCATTAAAGACTACAAAATTCCAGATGAAAATATTATTATTGAGAAAGGTACAACAGTGGTCATTTCTGCTCTTGGTATCCATTACGATGAAGAATATTATCCGGACCCTCAGAAGTTTGATCCTGAACGGTTTTCTGAAGAAAATAAGAAGAGTAGACATCAATATGCCCATCTTGCGTTTGGTGGAGGCCCTAGAAGATGTATAGGGATGCGGTTTGGGGTTATGGAAGCAAAAATTGGATTCATTTCTTTGCTGAAAGAGTATAAATTTACTGTTAACCAGAAAACCGAAGACCCTTTAAAGATGAAAGTGAATTCTTTCGTTGTGGCACCACAGGGGGAAATTTGGTTGAATGCAGAGAAACTTCAAATACCCATTTAGTTATAAAATGTTTATGTTAAAAGTATCATTATTATTATTAATAAATATATACGTTCGAGTAGAAGTTAAACCTATTATTTTCTATTCGAAGTATGGGTCTAACCGTAGGTTAGGCCGACTAGTGCTATTGTTGACCAGCACGGCCAGAAATGACGTAAAAGGAAGTATTGTATTGTGTTCATCCGGTGAATGGTTACTTTCATACTTTCTAGTCATTTCATGACCCCTAGAGTATGAAAAAATAAGTCTCCTAGTTCCGACTGCCTGTCTGTTTTATTAAAGAATGAGTCTTCGAAACTATCAGACCGACTGCTGTCAAATTTTATAGATATGTGTGGAATATCCTATAGATGGTAAAACGCTAATAAAATTTTGTGAAATGATCCCCATCATCAATTTGATGCCTTCAGGTCAAATTTTTTCATAGTAAATGGTTTCTAATTTTTTTAAAATAACATTGTTCTGTGCTTGTGGTTTATGAATTCGTCTTGTTCTTTACTCTCAACTTGCATAATAACATTTTACACCATTATAAGAAGAACGCTATAAGGTGGGCCACATGGCTCAGCTGAAAGAACTTCATATTACGAAGCACTTTTTTCTTACTGTCTTACGCTGTTTGGTATAATCTATATTTTTAATGATTGCAGTTAAAATGCATAAACTGACGCAAAGTCAAATTTTACAGTTTTTCCAAGAAGTTTGATTTGTTGGCCACTATTTCGGAGATGGGAGAAGTTGGTTTAGATAACCTTAGAAGAATTTTTCAATGAATGAAAATAATTTTTGAATTTCGTTAATACTTTGAAGATGAGTGTAATTAAAATTTCAAAAAATCGACGGCTCTACAGATTTGAAGATTGTAAAAAGAGTAGATCATTTATCAGAATTTCAGGACTCATTTTTATTTCCTTATCAAAATTTAAATGAAAATCGATCTATATTTGGTCACTGTTTCATATGTCTGTATATGAATTATAAATTTCTAGATACTCTAAAAAGACTAGAGATTTTTCGAAAAAGGAATAGAATATATATTTAAAAGCAAAGTTGTTTTATGTTTTTTACTGTTTACGCTTCTCTTCACAAGTGTAGCCGTTAGAAATAATACTTATAATTTAAGCAAAGACAATACGAGAACTCGACTTAATCTTCATTGATAAGGACAAATAAAAAGGCGTTTTCTAGGTTTAGGCCCTGTCAAAGTTTTGAAAAGTCCAATTTCGTAAGAGGAATCGTTAGGACTAGGAACAAGAACAAAAAAATTTTGGAGAAAACCGAACTATGCTAAAACTGAATCTCTATCTCTATATTGTTACGAAATAAACCCATACGCTGCCCCGGTACCACGCCTATGGGTTTTTTAGTATGTGCGGCGTTCGCTAAAGGAAAGCCTGGAAGCGGAAGTCGTGGTGGGTACTCTAGGAAAACCTCGACCACGGAACATCTAGAAAAGAAGTGTGGGTTTAAATAGCGGAGTCCAGTCAATGTTGAGAATCCAGGCAAATTGCGCCGGAGTTATTTTGTACATAATCGCTGTGTGTAATTAGTCGTGTAAATTTGAGTTACTAAAAAACAAATTGTTGAGTTTTACCCACACCGATTTTTAAATACCCGTTCAACGTAACAATATCAAGAAAAATAACTGAGTCAAGATCACGAATATCTTCCTAATGACTTCTTAAATCTGCCGGGAAAGACGTCTATATTATAGGAAATTTTCTCAGGATCAAAAATCTGTTCTACTAGATCCTTCCAAATCCTTCTATACCTATTAATATCCGTCGGGATCATGCTATCTTCTTTTAAATCTCTCTGTACCTTTGTATATCAGTTTAAACTGTCTGTACAATTCTATATCGGTCTAGATCCTTCTATATCCTCTGTATATCCCTCTGTATCCTACTATATTTCTTCTAATAACCTTCTATAACATATCCATCTGTATCCGTCTATATCCATTAATATCCGTGTGTAACTTCTATCTTCCAAATTCGTCTATACCCTTCTATATTCATCTATATATTGCCACATCCGTCTGTATCAACGTACAGCTGTATATATCCTTCTAAATCTTTCTATTTCTGTGTATATTCTCCCAAATTTCTAAGTCCATACCTTTTATCTATTTTTCTATATCCGTCTATATCTTTCTATATTCTTCTATATCCCGCTTACATCATTCTAAGTATATACGTCTCTGTTTGTCTATATCTTTCTATATCCTTCTGTTTCGGTCTATATCCTTCCACATTCTTTTATATCCGTCTATATCGGTCCGGAGAAATTTATCATATGGTAAATTTGTTCAGGATTACGAATCTGTGCCTATTTTGACTTTATGGGCAGTAATAACGGAGAAAAACCCCCTTTTTGATAAATTTTCAGAAATACTCAAATAGATTCGGAAAGAAATTTTCCCAAGATCAAAAATCTGTGCTTCTATATCTTTCTGTATCCTTTTATATCCGTCTATATCCAACTAAGTATACCTGTCTATATCCGCATATATCTGTCTATATCGCTTTATATTGTTCTATTTCGGACTATATCCTTTCAAATACTTCACTACCCGGATTTAGGTCTATATTCTTCCACATCCTTCTATATACGTTTATGTACATCTATATCCTTCTAAACACACCTATGTCTGTTTATGTACTTCTGTATCCTTTTATATTTCTTCAATATCCATCTGTACCCTTCTATATCATACTATAACATTTTACATCAGTCCGGAGAGACCTATCTTATGGGAAATGTTTCCAAAATGAAAAATTTGTGCTTCTATATCTTTCTGTGTCATTTTATATTCGTCGGTATCCATCTACATCTGTCTATATCCGTCTATATCTGTAATTATCCATCTATGTCCTTCTATTTCCGTCCATATCCCCCAGGTACTTCACTGCTCGTCCATAGCTTTTCCATATCTTTCCATATCCGTCCACATCTTCCTATTTTCTTGTGTTTAGGTCAATATTTTTCCACATCCTTCTGTATTCGTTTATATACGTCTGTATCCTTCTATATCCGTCTATATCCTTCTACATCTTTCTCTGTCCTTCTAAATCCTTCTATATCCTTCTAGATTCGTCTATATTCTTCTACATCAGTCCGGAGATACCTATTTTATCCGAAAATTTCTCAGGATCACGAATCTGTGCATACTTTTGTTCTTGGGGCAGTAATATCAGAAAATCCTTCCTTTTTGATAAAATTTTAAAACTTTTCAAAGTGGTCCGAATCACAAGTCGTAAAATAAAAAAATATTTTTCCACTAGTAGCATTACAATGGCTAATTGTCGACTTGTCTAGAGGTCTGTAATTTGGAAAATTGTGAACCTTGGTCAATAATGTAAACGTGAAGTTGGCCACCTAATGTGACAACTGTCCACAACTGTCAGAAAAACTGAGACATAACCTGAAAACGATCATTTTGGAAAATTTGCTTTTAAATTATGCCCTGGAATGATTTCCAAACCCTGAATTGATTATAAATTGAGGATAAATTGGTGAAACAAAGTTGATGAAGTTGATGGGAGTGAAAATGAAGTTTACGGGACTGAAACTGAATCATGGTTCCGATTTGGTTTGACTTGATTTGCCGTAGATGAGCTTTGGACGATTTCGGCGATTTTTTTTTTATTGAAGATCGAGCCGTCGTTGTATCCTTCTGCTATGCTGGAGGATTTCCATTCCCCGTGTCGCTTTAACGATAAAAGGTCCATACCTTTTTCAGCCAAATTTGTCGCGGTCGCGTAAGTACGACGGAATGAGGAGGGGTACATGATGGTTCACTTTACAACATTTTTCACACAAAAATTTATTAAAAACGGGAAATGGGCTACTAGTGGAAAAAATAGTATATTAACCACGTTTGTGAAGCCAATTCTAGACCTCGCGCTTTAGAGCCCTCGACGCTGCGCGTCTCAGGTTCTAATTTGCGCTCGGTCTAGAATGTCTGTCTTCACAACCTTAGTTAATAATATACTATTTGCCACTATTGTCAGTGCGAACAATTTTCAAAAATTGTCTCGGGATCACGAATATGTGCTTATTTTTATTTTACGAGCAGTAAGAATCGAGAAAATGCCCTTTTTTTGGCGAAATTTTAAAACTACTGGGATCATTTTTGTTTTGTTGTGGAATGCTTTAGAGAAAAGTAGCAAGTGAAAAGTTAAGATTGCTTAGGGAGTCACATACCCTTCTTATTGTATCTTTGAAAAGATCTAAAGTAGAATCCAGCATAAGATATACGAACTTAACTTCTTTTACAACTCACATATATTTTCTGTTTTATCTAAGAAGATGACAACATAACCTGTGAAACATTAGTAATTATTAGTAATTATGTGGTGAGGATTCTAGCCCATTTTGATCTCAGTTGACCTATTCTAGAATCCTCACATCATTTCCTCTACCCTAGGGGTCAACTACGGTCAAAATGGACTAAAACCCGCACTACATAAGTGCATTTTCAGAAAGAAAGAGACTCGTTGTACTTCATGATAGTTCTCAAAATTGTAGAGTTCCTGGAATTTTATTTGAATTGCTCAATACCCCCGAAGTTATAAACGAAGTTTTTGTAAATGGTTTATTGAAAATGTTCTACAAAAATCTTACAACTAATTAGTGTTATTGTTGTGGATAACGCACGCTACCATTCTGTTGCTTTCAGCAAAATTCAAAATACAAGTACCAATATATTTTCAGCAAAAATTAACAATTTGTGGGAGTCTTCAAAGTATTTAACTTGGGGAAACAACAATGGGCAAATATGTCATAGATTTTTTCGATCTCAAATCTGGAATATATTCTTTCGGAAAATTTTTTGACTAGTGAAAATTGTTCTCACTGACAATCGTAGCAGAAATATTTTTTATTTTACGACTTGTTTAAGTTTAGTTTTGCCTGCAACAGTAAACATTAACCTCCACTTTATGAGTCACAATCAGTCACCTATCAGTACTGAATAAATTAAATTTAAAATGAACTAACCTTGGTAGAATGAATGATTATTATTTAAAAAAGCCTGGGGTTTCACTATTATCGCCTGCAAATTTAAAAAAAAAATTAAACAATTTGGGTAACACTTTAAGAATTACTAATATTCTTCAGTCTTATTGTTTCTATGTGAGTTGAATGGTGTACACTTTTTTCAACTCACAAGCGATCCTCAAACGTTCAAACAAGATTTTTTGTTTAAATGTGGATTATATTACCTGAAAACATCATTTTTAAGCAGAAACCCACTTTTTTTGGTCATCAACTCGTTGATAACTAGTTGATAAATTTGACATCCCTTTCTTCAATTCGTTCCTGGGCTGGGAATATATGTAATATAATAAAAAAGTTTATTAAAACTTACCTTTCAAGATTCGAATATGACTGAAATGTGTAAAAGTATTTCTTATAATAAAAATTAAAATATAAAATATAATATCGGATAATATTAGAGAACACACACACAAAATTTATGAGCATGTTTATTTGCCTGTGTGTGTCAGTTCAAACAATACTAACTTTATACATCAATCCCCTGACCAAGATTTAGATAAAAAGAACACTTGAAAACTGAACGAATCATGATTACATGAAGCGTTAAAAAATAAAAATAACCGCTGTTATCGTTTTTACAATGTGATGATTCGCCATGAATCATACACGTTATGTACTTACCTTACTTGTAACATTCACAAAGTCATTCCTTATCTCGGTGAATGACAGATTAAATCTTACTGTCTACAAAACACAAAACTTCTTTATCATCTTTAACAACACAATTGTCCAGTTGTTTGTTTATTTAATTGTACAATGAGGCTGCATCACATCACTATAAAATATTTTCTCCTTGATGGTTTAATTCAGTTAGTCTAGACACCCACACAGCGAAGATGTTAGTCGCTAGTTCCTTAACCGGAGATTTAATCGCGGTAGCGGTAGCCCTCGTAACTATCGTAATTGTTTATTGTAAATGGACATACCAATATTGGGCCAGACGCAACGTACCATATTTCCAACCCCAAATACCATATGGGAACCACAAGAAGACCCTCCGGGGTAAAGAACACATCGGTGTGTCTTTAGCAAAAATCTACAGCGACATGAAGCACAAAGGATGGAAGTACGGAGGTATTTATATCTTCACCAAACCCAGTTTCTTCCCTACCGACCTAGACATCATCAGGAATATAATGACGAAAGATTTTCACCACTTCGTCGACCGCGATGTGTTTTACAACGAAAAAGATCCCCTTCAGGCTCACCTACTTAACCTAAGTGGCACGAAATGGAGGAATCTGAGAGCTAAACTAACACCGACGTTCACTTCTGGTAAGATGAAGATGATGTTCAATGTAATGGCCGAATGTCAAAGAGATTTGTACAAACGAATGGATAAAGAGTGCGAGAAGAGAGAACCCATCAACATTAAAGAAATTCTGGCCTGTTTCACCACGAACATCATCGGATCTTGTGCCTTCGGTTTGGAATTTAAAGCCCTGGAAGATGAAAATTCTGAGTTTAGAAAAATAGGGAGAAAAATGTTTACGTCTTCGCGGTGGCTGCGTTGGAAGAGGACCTTCTCTACAACATTTCCTAAAGTGGCTAAGGTTTTAGATTTATCTATGTCACGACCGGAGATTGCAGGTTTTGTGATGAACATGGTGGAAAAGACGATAGATTATAGAGAGAAGAATAAAGTAACTAGGAACGACTTCATGCAGTTGATGATTAACCTCAAGAACAACAAGCCCACGAATCCTGGTGACCACGATGGGAAGCCTCTAACCATGGACGAAGTTGCATCCCAATGTGTTGTTTTCTTTGGGGCTGGGTTTGAAACTTCATCTACTTTAATGACTTTCGCTTTATACGAACTTGCAAAGAATGAAGATATTCAAGAAAGGGTCAGAAATGAGATTAACTCCGCCTTAAAGAAGTACGACAATCAGATTACGTATGACTCGATCCAAGATATAGGTTATCTAAATCAGGTTATTGATGGTGAGTAAATTACTAAATTGTTGATTACAAATTATTATTATCATACATTTTTGTAGAAACATTAAGACTTCATCCACCAGCAGCCCTCTTGAATAGAAAATGCGTCAAAGACTACAACGTTCCAGACCATGATGTGGTGATTGAGGCAGGTACCAATGTTACAATATCGGTTCTTGGGATTCACCACGATGAAGAAGTTTATCCTGAACCTAAGAAGTTTGATCCGGATCGGTTTAGTGATGAAAATAGGAAAACAAGACACAATTATGCCCACATACCTTTCGGAGAAGGTCCTCGCAATTGTATTGGTAAGAAAAAGTCTTAGATTTGTTAAAATTACTAATGATGATGCTTGCAGGGATGAGATTTGGATTGTTACAAGCTAAAGTTGGCTTGGTTTCTTTGTTGCAGAACTATAAATTTACGGTGAACAAAAAAACACAGGAACCTTTGTTCTATAGTCCACCCAGTATTGTACTTACAGTGCAAGGGGACGTTTGGTTGAATGCTCAAAAAATATAGATTGTATTTTGTGTATTATTTATTGGTGTAGTAACATCTATTCTTAAAGTAAGAAATAAAGGTCATTTTTCACATTTCGTTGTTTTATTTTTTTCATTCAGATTAAATAAAGTACAATTTTTGGGTTGGGATTTCAGCAGATTCCAATGTTCTGAGACCTGCCGCCTAGTGTTTGTTCTTTTAATAATGTGCAAAGTGAATGAACTTTGAAAATGTAATCGCAGTCTCTCAAAAAACGTTTACTTAGATAAAAACAGAAAAAATGTAGCTTTACAGTTTTGAGTTAAATACTCTACAAATATTTTGAATTAACTTACAAGAAATTTATGTTGCGTTAGGTCAAAACTGTATGGGTCTTCTAAAAATTTGTGTAAATATCATCAGAGACTATTTAATTTATTGTTAAATTTTTACTTCCCAAGCAAGTATTGTAATCGAGTCGGTCGGCCAACTCTCTACTTTTACGTTTTCTCGACTTTTCATGATCCCAAGAGTACGAAGAAATAGGTCTCCCATTTCCGTCTCTTGTCCCGATTATTATTAGACATAATCTGCGAAAGTACTGGGCCGATTGTTGTCATTTGCGTGGTCTCTACAATACGCCCCACACACCGGCAATTAAAAGTAGCATGCTACAACACTGAAAAAAATGTTGATAACGTTATCACAAAAATGCTGAATATGTTTCATCGTAATTTAGGTGCGAGGAAAGTTCTGTACTTTTTTACTTTAATTTTGATTGCCCCATAAAAAAATATTGTGGGAAGATTTTTTTACTTATTCTCAAAGAAATTGAAAACTACGGGTGCACTGAAGTTGTATGTGTTTGACAACGAATAATCTTAGTTTTGCTTTTTGTAAAAATTGCAGTACCATGCCTTTTTTACTTCCCGAGCGTGAGCTAAGGAAGTAGAGTAATTGAGTCCATCGGACGAATTGCCACTTTTATGTTTTCTCGACATCTCATGACCCCTACAGTACAAAAAATGTAGTCTCCCGTCTGTCTGTCTGTCTGTATCCATTTTTATTAGATACGTAATCTGCGAAACTGCTGGACCGATTGTTGTCAAATTTATTACGTATGTGAGAAATATCATGTAGATAGTTAAATGCTAGCCAAAATTTGGCTAATCATCCCCACCAACAACTTGATGACGTCATCTTTCTATTCTTTCATTTGGTATTCTTATCATATGACCTCATATAACCCTACAATCAAAGTTGTTTGCTCTCTAATTTCTTTTCTATCATTCCATCCCTAATACTTTTCCTCTTATATTTGTATTCCTCAATTTGTATTCCTCACTTTCGTTACCTCTAGAACTCGTGTTAAAAATATCGTCTTGCATGCTCGGCGTATTCCTTCATGCCTAAATACCCTGGTATGTGTCGAATGATTTGCTAAGCAAGATCTCAATTGTAGTTTCATGCTAAAATTAATCTTATCAAATGATATAACTGACAAATTTTGAAATCATTGTCCTAATGCGTAATCCTACATTACATAGATTAAGTAAACAGTACAAATAATAAGTTTTGCTGAGTCAAGATAAACATATAAATAAACACCATACATGAAACACTTTATTGGAAAGCTTATATTTACACTTGTCGTTTTGACACTCATGTTTTAACAATGTCATTTGATAAGAGTGTTTTCATCATGAGATTGCAATTGATTCTGCCATTATAAAACCGTTTTATATCTAATCAGCTCACTACAGTTTAGTGCAGTCTCTACAAGCTCAAAATGTTCATTACTACCAGTTTAACCAGCGACTTAGTAACGTTAGCGGTAACATTTCTCGTTATCCTAATATGCTACTTCAAATGGTCATTCCAATATTGGAAAAGATGTGGTATTCCATATCTAGAACCAGAAATACCATTTGGCAACCTATCCAATGCAATACGAGGCAAAGAACACTCAGGTGTCACGTTCAAGAGAATCTACAATGAAATGAAACACAAAGGCTGGAAATACGGAGGTATTTACATTTTCACTAAACCACAGTTTTTCCCCACCGATTTAGAGCTAGTGAGGAACGTCGTCACAAAAGATTTCCAACATTTCGTCGATAGAGACATTTTTGTGAATGAGAAGCAGCCCCTGCAAGCGCACTTGTTGAATCTCAAAGGCGACAAATGGAGGAATTTGAGATCCAAACTGTCACCAACGTTCACTTCTGGAAAGATGAAGATGATGTTTAGCGTGATGGAGGAATGCCAAAACGATCTCCAAAAAAGACTAGACAAAGAATGCCTTAAGAACGAACCTATTGACATTAAGGAGATCTTAGCTTGCTTTACCACCAACATCATCGGTTCTTGTGCTTTCGGTTTGGAGTTCAAAGCGTTAGAAGACGAAGATTCTTCTTTCCGTGTTTTTGGAAGGAAAATGTTTCAGTCCTCGAAGTGGTCTAGCTTTAAGCGAGTGTTTGTCACAACGTTTCCGAAATTTTCAAAATTGTTGAATGTATCTATAGCTCGAAAAGACATCGCTGACTTTGTCATAAACATGGTTGACGATACGGTAAAGTACAGAGAAAAGAATAACTACACCAGAAACGACTTTATGCAGTTATTGATCAATTTGAAAAACAACGCACCTTCGATTTCTGGGGATCACGATGGAAAACCTCTGACCATGGATGAAGTGGCTTCCCAAGCTCTTGTTTTCTTTGCAGCAGGGTTTGAAACATCTTCAACTTTGATGACGTTCGCTCTGTATGAGTTGTCGAAGAACCAGGAGATACAAGACCGTCTAAGAAAAGAAATTCGTCAAGGGCTTGCCAGGCATGACAACGCCATCACGTATGATTCGGTTCAAGATATAAAATATTTGTCGCAAGTTCTTGATGGTAAGTTAAAATGTTACTCTTCTGAATTACAGAAGACTCTTTGTAGAAAGTTTGAGGCTGCATCCGCCAGCATCTGCTCTTAATCGCCTGTGTGTTAAAGACTACAAAATTCCTAACGAAGATGTTGTTATCAAAAAGGGTACATCTGTGTTAATATCGGTGCTTGGGATTCATCACGACAAGGACATATATCCTGATCCTGATAAATTTGAGCCTGACAGGTTTAGTGATGAAAATAGGAAATCTAGACACAATTACGCGCATATTCCTTTCGGAGAAGGACCCAGGAATTGCATTGGTGTGTATCAATATTGGTGATAGGGTGACGGAGTCTTAATACATTTTTTCAGGGATGCGATTTGGTCTCCTTCAAGCAAAGGTGGGTTTGGTATCTCTGATTAAGGACTATAGATTTACTGTCAATAAGAAGACCAAGGAGCCTCTAGTTTATAAATCGAGCAGCATTGTTTTGGCCGTCGATGGTGAAGTTTGGTTGAATGCAGAGAAAGTAGCATAATAATTGCATGAATTGATTTAGAATAAGGTGATTTGACAAGTGAAAATGTAATAAATAGTAGTTTATGTTACACAAAATGGTATAACTAAATATTGAATTTTTTGGTAATTCTCCACCATGGCAGTTTTCAACAAACAATAGAGGGGGGTGGGCGGGGTTAGTACACGCTAAAATCAGTTTTATCTTAGCAGCTACAACCCCCATCCACCCAGCCTCTCGTTTCTTAGAGGGTATGTCATTTGCTAAAATCGATCTTATTTTAACCATGGCCGACTAGTATAAAGATTATGGCCTGTCTAAAGGAATGCCAAAGGTACCATACGTGCTGCCATCTATTAATAATTCAAAAACGACAAAAGAATTATTTACACTTTTTGAAAGGCACAAAGGCATTCATACCGAAACAAACCACCATTACACGTTTTGAAGTCCCATAATGTCAAGTCAAATTAAAATTTTGCTAAATTATTAAGTGTAATTATTAATAGATGGCAACACGTATCGTACCTCTTGGACAGGCCATAATCTTTATACTAGTCGGCCATGTTTTAACAAGCACTAGCCCCGCCCACCTACCCTCCTATAAAAAACTAACTATTTTCCCTCTCAAGCGATGGACTGATGGCGATGTTCAAACACCGATCATAAATAAACGACACTTATGGCACAAATTCAGATCAACTAGAAACCGTGTCGACTTCACTGAGCATCGAGCCGTTTCTAATCATTTGTCGCTTTTGATTAAAAACAAAAAAAAAACTTATATCGAACAGTTTGTTAATGGTGCTAATCACAAAAAATTATTCAAATATGTTACATTTTCATTAAAAAATCTACGCCAGTTTTAAAAGACAGTAGCAACTCCAAAATAAATCGACGCTCACTCCCAGGTTACTACTATGTTTTTTAAAGTGCATTTACTAAAGCACCGTCCACAAATACTTACCCAATTATTTTGACTCTCCGAATCTCCGACTAAATTACCCACATTACTTTCGTATTTCTTCACAAATACTAGCCCCACCCATCCGTCTTTTATTTTCTTAGATGGTATGTCATTTACCAAAATCAGTTGTACCTTAGGAAGTACTGGCCCCACCCACCCGCCCTTTCTTGCTTTGAGGGTATATGATTTGCCAAAATCAGTCGTATCTTAGGAAGTACTAGTCCCGCTCACCCGCCCTCCGTTTTCATGGAGGGTATATCATTAAATCAGTCTTATCTTAGCAAGTACTAGCCCAGCCCACTCCCCACCCCCTTATTTTCATAGAGGGTATTATATCATTGGCCAAAATCAGTCTTTTCTCTACAAATACTAGCCCCACCCATCCGCCTTTTATTTTCTTAGATGGTATGTCATTTGCCAAAATCAGTCGTATCTTAGGAAGTACTGGCTCCGCCCACCCGCCTTCCGTTTTCATGGAGGGTATACCATTGGCCAAAATCAGTCTTATCTTAGCAAATACTTACTATCGTTGATCGAGAAAAGTCTAAATTCTTCGGATAATTCTTGTTCTCCTGGTCTTGCGGTCTTTCGCTGTTTTACTTAAAAAATGTTCCAAATCTCTTTCTTTGCCTATGGCCCTTTTGATGCAACGTTCTTTTACTACGGGTGTGCTGCCCAAGGTCTGGAAGACTTTTGCAGTGACTCCTATTTTTAAAAAAGGTGACAAGTACAGTGCTAGCAACTATAGACCAATTAATTTTACTCCCATTGTTGTTAAAATTATGGAACGTATAATTGTCACCCAGTTAAAAGCATTCTGTTTTGAGCACAATATTATTCCCAAAGAACAACATGGATTTACTCGTGGAAGATCTGTAATCACTAATTTATTGCTTTGCGTCGACGACTGCACTAAAATGTTAGACAATAAACTGCCTGTTGACATGATCTACTTTGACTTTGCCAAGGCTTTTGATCGCAGACTTCTGTATAAACTCGAGCACCTCGGAGTGAGGAGACCACTGTCGGACTGGCTATCCTCTTATTTAAGAGGTCGCATTTTTCAAGTCAGTAGTCATCTGTCTGACGAAGCCGAGGTGTATAGCGGTGTCCCTCAAGGTTCGTTTATCGGTCATTTATTTTTCCTACTATATGTACCCGATCTGTCTCTTTGCATAAAATTGCGGAAATCTTTTGTCTCAGACGAGATGAAACTATACTGTAATCCCTGCACCTCATCTCAGCAATACAAAATGATCTTGACTCCCTAGCTCAGTGGTGTGACAATTGTTTACTGTCATTAAATATTCATAAATGTGTTGTATTACACCTTGGAAAAATAATCCTACATTTAGTTATTTTATCAACAACTTAAAACTAATAGTAGTTGATTCACATGTTGATCTATGGGACACCTTGTCCTGGTCTCCACACATTGTAAAAATTTGTAGTAAAGCCAGGTCTACCTTATTTCTCATATATAGAGCTTTTAAAGACGCATCTCCTGAGGTTCTTGCTACATTATATAAAATTTACTGTCCACCTGTCCTGGAGTTCGCGGGTTATGTGTGGAGTGTGGACTGGGAACACGACTGAGCTCTTCTGGAATCTGTACAACGCCTGGCAATTCGTCTGCCCTATGGCCAGCATCGGCCGTCTTACAATGACAGGTTAAACTTATCCAATTTAACCACTTTGATCGCCAACGTCCACGTGATGACTAATCATATTTATCGTATTGTTCATAAATTATTTGCTTGTAATTTGGAACCTCTTCTTTAGTTCAATACTTTTACCCGACTTCGTTGCCACAATTATAAACTCTTGAAAGAATCATTATATAGAACATAATGTCGCCAAGGTTTTTTAACTAATCGTGTTTTCAATTCCTGGAATAACCTACCTTCAACCACTGTTTCGGCACTCTCCGTTAACTCTCTTAAAAATCAAATTGATAAAATTTATTAATCATCTTGTGGTGACCGAATTTGAATCAAATTTTCGCGCTGAAATTAATTAACAGCGGCCCGAAATCACATTTGAATAATTTTAATTTGAAACAAAAAAATTTCAATAAAAAAGATCGTTAAATATTGGCAACCATGAGCACGTTAGCGCTTGGGGGTAGTTCTGCATGTTTAGTTAGAGGGTGGTCGGCTGGGTAGAAGAGAGCGGCATGTTGAAAGCATGGGGAAGGTCATTGTTGTTTGGTTCGGTGACGTGCCGGTGAATGGTGAAAGGACGCTGTAAGTAGCTAGGTTAAATTAGTTGGTTTGGTAGTTAATAAAAGGGAGGAAGCCTTCGTTTAACGACAACATCACCGTTTCCCTAATAAGCGCAGCTAATTCTTGCGGTCTTTTAATCGCAAAAAGTGCGGACTTTCATCCAATGCGGACCAAGTGGTGTAAATTTGTTTTATTGTTTGTAAATTCACCGATCAGGTTAGTTTTTTTTTAAACGTCAACTAGTGCTAACACATTTTAACAATCCGGATTATTTCAATAAACCACTTGCTAGAAGATTTCATGAAATTCACTTAGTCAGGATAACAACCTGTGTTTACAAATTATAAATAAGTTTCTGGATGCTAATATGTAAGTGTTACATTATAACACTTCTTAATTCTTCACACAAAATTGCTAATACTCCATTTACGACAGTTAAATTAACTAAGTCGTACCGTAAACTGGCGGGGGGTTAAAATTATTTCTTCCCTTAAGCAGTGATCGTCGTTATTATCATCGTTATCATCATTACATCACTGAGGCATGTCATCACAACGCTAAAGATTGATTACATCACTAAGGCATGTCCTCACAACGCTAAAGATTGATTACATCACTGAGACATGTCCTCGCAACGCTAGAGATTGATAACATTAACGAGGTATTTCCTCGCAACGTTAAAATTTATGTCATGGAGGTATTTCCTCGCAACGGTAAAATTTACATCATCGAGGCATTTTCTCGCAACTCTAAAATTTACATCACCGAGACGCATTTTCCTCGCAACGATGACTGGATATCTTTGTGTTTATTTATTATGCGTTTGGTTGGGGTAACCAGTTGGCGGTATTATAAAGTCTCAAAGCTAATTGTTTTTAAGTAACCAATCACTTGGATCATGACAACAATTTAACATAATGTAAACTCTTTGTTTGAATCGTTGATAAAGTGTGGCAAGTATTAATCTCATGTAAATTTTGTTAACTTTGCAATTTTTCACCTCATACAATATTTCTCGATCTCACAATTTCAATCTCAGTAGTTTTCTTTGCTGTATAATTTTAATTGAACGTAAATTTTCATGCTCTGCAGTTTTAACCTAACATAATATTTTTATTTGCACAAGTTTATTTCACACCAGATTTTTTGTTTTATAAATCTTTGCTAAGTTTTGTTTGTAAGCATTTTGACGATGAATGTTTCCATCGTATAAATTATCTGATGTCCAATTTTAATCTCACATAAGAATTATTTTTTGTTTAAAATTTCACAAGATTGTATGGCGAATTTAAATTTTGTTTATTCGTCTTTTGAAACTTTAACACTTGTTCAGTTGTCGATAATATCACAGTCATAGAAATTGAATATTTAAAATAGAATTGAGGTTAAATAACACCGAAACACGTAGCAGAAACGGCTCCTAGTGGGGGCTAGCGGGATTTGCCGCTCCATCTGCACAAGGGATGCAGGCTTTGAATAGATTCAGTGGGAACGGTCTGGACGATGAGATCTTGTCAGCTTATTTATAGCCGTGACTTCCAACCCTTAGTTTTCGACCGTAACGGCCTGGTTAGGACGGCATGTTCGTAATGGAGAGGTGCTGTGCGGTAGGCTTGCAATAGATAGAATCATCTTCGGGGGGGAGAACAGCCACAGTTGGGAGCCCCAAACTCCGCTAGAACGCCCTATGGATATTTTTGTTGTGCTCTTGTTAATTGCCATAATTTTAAATTTGACGCCACACCCCCGTAATAACTTACTTTAGTTCAGATTTTGCTTTATTTTATTAAATTTGTGATAGTCAAATATTTGCATTCATTCAAAACATAAACGTAGGATTTTTGCACTTGTTCGGTTTCCCATATGTGTACGTCTGTCAACTCGCGGTTGTCTCTTTCTTTTATATTTTTGTGTTTCATTTGCGATGTATTATATGTGGGTGAATAAATAGAGGGTTTATGGGCTTGAGGAGTGAATACGAAATGGCAAGCCACGTATCGCTCTCGTTCGCAGCTCCTTTTCCTCCTAGAAAGGGGTGCGATTTTTAGTCCCCTCCCAAAAATTTTGTCTATTATTTTTGGCGCTCTCTACTCGCACGAAGTGTATACTCACTTGTATGAAAAAACGTGTTTCCGCCATTTTTCAAAAAACAAAACACAACGTAGGTTCCTTTTTGTTAGACGATCACAGCCAAGGCCAAATTTGAATTTTTGAATTTTTCGTGGGCCTTTCAAACTTTTTTTTCAAGTGTCAATTTAAGACGGGAAGTTTGGGTTATCACAATCTCTTCTTCAGGTAATGCATTATACTAAACTCACTTGACATACACCTAGTAAAACTTTCGACTTAAATGGCTTAGGCCAAACCATCCTTATATTACAAGTCAAACTGGCTATTGTAAGCTTTATAGACCCAAACCGCAAGGATTATTACTGTTATAGGTATATGTCAACTGAGGTAAGTTAAGGTTTGTCATTAAAGTTTTACTAGGTGTATGTCAAGTGAGTTTAGTATATTGTATTATTTCCGGCTGATTTTCTAATCGGGAACCATTCCGAGAACTAAAGAAACAAATCTTATCGGGCATCAAAATTTTCATTACGGTCCATCTCGACAAACCCTCTCCCAGCCATCTGGACTGCGGCAAGTTTACAAGAGTCTTTAATGAAGCCCTCACAAAAATTAGTGGAAGTCAATAGACGCCTGAGTTTTGTACTACGGATCTAAAATGTTTAATTATATTACAACTATCAAATTATATTGTTCCACTACCGCAAGAAATTTAGTAGAAAGCATCAGGTATTCTCTTGATGAATTTTTAAGCAGTGATGTCAATTGTGCTCCATAAACGTAAAAATTATCTTGTGTACTACATATAATCTAAGAAGCGGTTTTGTTACTTTTCATTTGTAATTCCTAAGGACATCAAAAGATTACGTGCTAAGACATTTAAACAAGAATATTGACATAAACTAACACTGCATGATATACAAAACGAAAAAACAATCCGATCAGCGCGAGGAAGATCAACGCATGAGTTGCAAATGTGTTAAATAAAAACGAAATTAGCTGGTCTATGACTCTATTAACATCAGCATATATTTACATACGTTAATATTCAATAACACAAACCAGTTATGACATAACTGGTGATAAATAATTGATTATAATAAAATACAAAACAATAATTGAGTTAATAATAGTTTTATCTTTGTCGAGTAAAATATGATCATGTAACCGCTCTGTCATGAATAAATCGCACTACAGCATCAAACATCACGCTTGTGGATCAGTTCAGTCGAGTGTAAACATTCCGTGCGCAAACATGCTAATTACCAGCTCCATAACCACAGACTTAATCGCACTTTTCGTAACTCTTGCAGTACTGTTCATCAGCTACTGGAAATGGACTTATCAATATTGGCAAAGACGGAACGTCCCATACGTGCAACCCCAAATACCCTTTGGAAACCTAACCAACTCCATCAAAGGTAAAGAACACACCAGCGTGACCTTAAAAAAAATCTACGACGAAATGAAACGCAAGGGCTCGAAACACGCCGGCATATACATGTTCAACAAGTGCATCTACTTTCCGATAGATTTAGATTACATAAGAAACATCATGACGAAGGATTTTCACCATTTTGTCGACCGCGACTTTTACGTAAACAAAAAAGACCCTTTGCAAGCCCATCTCGTCAATCTAAAGGGCAACGAATGGAAAAATATGAGAGCGAAACTAACGCCGACTTTCACTTCGGGCAAAATGAAGATGATGTTCCAGGTGATGGCAGAGTGCCAAAACGATCTGTTAACGAAGATGCACGAAGAATGTTTGAAGAACAAACCGATCGATATTAAAGAAGTTTTGGCAAGGTTTACTACCAACATCATCGGGTCTTGTGCCTTTGGTTTGGAATGTAAAGCCCTGGAAGACGAAGACTCGGAATTCAGAGAGTATGGGAAGAAAATGTTTAGCGAAACAAAGTTTGGGATGTTTAAGAGACTTTTTGCGATGACGTTTCCTAACATTGCTAGGTTGTTTAACGTTTCTTTGATACATAAGGACGTAGCCGACTTTATACTGAAAATAGTTGAAGACACTATAGAGTACCGAGAGAAAAATAACTGTTCTAGGAACGACTTTTTGCAACTGATGATGAATTTGAAGAAAAATCCACCCACAGATATTGATGATCATGACGGGAAACCTCTAACAATGGACGAAGTGGCGTCTCAGTGTTTGGTTTTCTTTGCAGCAGGTTTTGAAACCTCGTCAACTTTGATGTCTTTCGCGCTTTATGAGCTAGCCAAACATCAAGACATACAAGAGAAACTGCGAGCTGAAATTAATTCGGTTTTGGATAAGCATGAAAAAAAAATCACATATGACTCGATCCAGGACATGAAGTACTTAAATCAAGTAGTTGATGGTAGGTACCATTTTTGAAAATTTTACAAAATAACTATATCTTTCTAGAAACCTTGAGAAAACACCCTCCGGGAGCTCTTCTTAACAGGAAGTGTGTGAAGGATTATAAAGTTCCGGGGGAAGATCTCGTAATCGAGAAAGGTAAAAGCGTTATGATTTCGGTACTTGGAATACATTACGATGAAGAATATTATCCGAATCCTACTCAGTTTGACCCTGAACGTTTCAATGATGAAAATAAGAACTCAAGACATAACTTTGCTTATATGCCTTTCGGTGAAGGTCCTAGGAACTGCATTGGTACGACTACCTACGAAAGATTATTTTCTATGATTAACAATATTTTTTAGGAATGCGTTTTGGTTTGCTTCAGTCAAAACTGGGTCTGGCTTGTTTAATAAAGAATTATAAATTCACTGTTAACAAGAAAACGCAGGAACCCCTAAAATATAAGCAAAATAACATTGTACTAGCAGCACAAGGCGAAATTTGGTTGAATGCTCAAAAAATTTAAAATTTTTGTGTTAAATATTAGCTTCTCGTTTTTTGAGATAATTGTTCCATTTGTTTTCATATCATTTAAGCACCTGTGTGTTTTCATTCTCGTCGTCATTAAAGTGTAACGATCTTATTGCAATGCGTATTTTTGGTTGCCTATATAGTCACTAACTTAGAATCTAAACAGAGTTTTTCATAATCTTCGTCCTACAAAGAAGGAAGCAATCATTGCTGTAGCTCCTGAGAATCTAAATTTAGAAATAAAAAAAAAATACTCAATCTGATTACAGTTAGGGCTCCACAAAAGTGAATTAACTTTTTTCCAAATATACAAGGCATGTTATGTGACAATCATTATATGTAGGTAGGCACATACATTTACAATAGAACTCACATTAATTTTAGTTGACTTTAAAAATATACTACTTATGTTATGACAAAAAAAAATAATTATTACAAGAAATTAAATGGAAAGGTCTATGTTAGAAATATTGTAGAAGAAGGTAAAATGCAAACCAAAATTTGGTTGATCATCTCTACCACTAATAGGATGACGTCATCTCCAAAATTTACAATAATAAAATTTTTACCTTAGACATTCAGATTAAAAAAATATATATAATAAGTCAAACTGTATACAACATTTTGTAATTTAATTTTGAAGCTGCAAAACCGAATGCTCTGAAACGTTTTAAGGTTTCCAAAAATGGTAAATTGTTAATCAAAATTTATCCATTTATTCCCTCCCAAAAAACTGATAACGTCATCTAAAAATTTTGTCATATAATTTCTATCCAAAACATAAAAAATAATGGTTTATCCCATTTACCCGAAAATTTGAGTTTAGAGTACTGGAAACCTCGTGATTGAAAAGGGTAAAACCGTCATGATTTCGGTACTGGGAATTCATTACGATAAAGAATATTATCCGAATCCTACGCAGTTTGATCACTGATGAAAATAAGAACTCAAGATATAACTTTTCATATCTGCCGTTCGGTGAAGATCCGAGGAACTTGCCACTTGTTAAAAAACTCGAGTTATGATTCTCTTTTATACCATTTTAAATCAGTGCGCCAAATTATCAACCAATGTTAACAGTCGCTAAAATTAGAAGAAGATAACACTAGTATGTAGTGCACATTACAACGAGTAAGAGAAAGACAGAGAACTGAAAGTATGTCGACACTATTTTCATGCATGTTGTTCCACACTTTGCTGCCCATAGCCGTATCTAGGTTACTAAGAAATCTCTGGATAATAAAGAAGTGGAAAAACCATGGAATAACGAAATCACCAAATAAATACTAGATATCAAGGGTAATATAGGGTTTCTATAAAAGATTATAGGTTCGCAGTAGGTCATGTAAACGTGTCGCTTCTCAGATTTAACTGTACTAAATGCCGCATGACAAAGACAAACGCATCTGTGTAACTGGTTGCCTAAATGCTTCATACCTTTTTAAAAAATAAAACTAATTCATTACAATAAAAAAAAGCAAATCTATTGCAGTTAAACATCACAGTAAATGTTGAAAATGTTTACCCTTTGTTCAAGGTACATTGTTACTCTCCTTTTAATTTCAAAAATGTTCTGTAATCCTTTCGTCAATGCCTATTGTTCAATTTTATGTTGCAAGAGGAATTCCTGTCTGCTGAGGACATTTTGTCAAAGACGTTTGCGGATTCTGCTCAAGTCGTCTCAAATCATCAACAACTTCCTTAGATACTGAAGGTCTTATACGAGATTTCTCTTTATTGACACTGCCAGTTCAAACAAATCTGTTGATTACATCTCTAATGTGAGTCTTAAATGATGTTTCTTAAATTATTAAATCACGGTATTTGGCCAGATATTATTGCTTACAAGCGGTTACAGTATACACAAACTCTTCGTTTACGAAATGCCATTGCGATAACAAAACATAAAGATGAAAGTGTCTTATTCAACAGTATAAATCATTCTCACAGTCTTTGCTTCCTAGCACAAAAAATGTTCGTACGTAACCACCAAGAGTTTTGAAAAGGACAAATACTGTAACAAGCAACTTAATGGAAAGGGTTGGGAACAAAAACACAAACATCGAGACATGCTTAGGAAAAAATGGAGAAAAGGTCAGAAGTAGCAGTGGAGAAAAATATAATAAACAGATTTTTACCAAAAAACAATTGGTCTAAAGCTGTTTCGTTGAAACATATCCGGCATTTTCAAAAAATTGTAACATTTGATTTTGCGGATTTTATATTTTTTATAAGAAAAGTTGTGTGATGACGTCAATCAATTCAATCATCATTTTTGCATGAACACATATTTCAACTTAGATTGGTACAGTGTAATACTAATAACAACAGTAGTATTGTATTCACCTTCCCCCAAATTTTCGGAAAAATGGAGTGACCTACATTTTAGATAGTATTTATTCGGCTGATGACATGACGTCATCAGGTTTTTAGGAGATAAGGAAATATATTTTGATTAAAAATTTACCATGCCTGCAATAACTCCAAAACGTCTGCAAGATTTCAAGCTATTCAGTTTTGCAGTTTTTGAATGAATCAATAAAATAAATTGAGTCATTAATTTTTTTCTATCACCCTGTATATAATAAAATCGAAAAAATATGAATGCAAATGCAGTAATTTTAAAAGTGTGCGATACACTTTTCTCACGCGCATAAATCACCGTTGTATAGTAGACCAAAAGCTATAAGGTTATATGGCCATCATAAAATCATCCCATTGTGTTGAAGTTAGGTTGTTTACAATAGAAAATGTAAATAACCGTGTCCATTGTAGCTCAACCGGCTGTTGCGGTTTCGTTCAGGGGCGGCTTTCACTAAATATGTAAACCCACCACTCCACTATTTCTTTACTACCTGCAGCTGCTGAGGGTTCCGAAATAACCACTCGCTTTGAAAGCCGGCCCTGTTAAATGTGAGCAAGAAATGTTTAGAAGACGATTTATTGCCAACCGGTAAGCTTAGTGCGAACCACACAAAGGGGGTATTTATTTGCGGTCAACTACTTTTATGATGATAATATTACCTTATAGCTTTTGGACTAGTATAAACTTGTCTACTTACCTCGACCACTGTCTTGAGTAATACAGGTGGCAGTAAAATTTTTATTACGGTCCATCTCAACAAACCCCCTCTCAGCCATCTCGACTACGGCAAGTTTACAATGATCTTTAGATAAGCCCTCTTAAAAATTAGTAGAAGTCAATAGCTGCCTGAGGCAGGATCCCGCACAAGAGTTCTGGTCAAAGTATATACGTTAGTGAATTATAAACCACTTTACTTATTATTATTAAAAGTCACTATATTTATTGATCTTTTACGAGAACATGCATACGTTGGATGAAAATCTTTATTTATAAAAATTATACATATGAGCAGTACTAACATTAAAGATATATTACTATTAGTGTCACTTTATGTTAGAAAACATCCATTTCGACAGAAAAAAAACTATTTTTCTGCAAGTCAGAGACTATAATTTTGTAACATTTGGTTGAAGTTTACCTGTGTTCGTTACAAAGGGTACACCATAATCTAATCCAAGGGGTACTTTTGTGGTCTCTGCTATATCAAAAGAAAAATCCTTCAAACTTTGTTCACCAAAATTGCAAACCTTTGTCCTACAACCACAGTTACAAAGTACTAAGACATTTTTCTTTATTTTTAATACATACCCATACAACTTCTTGGTCCATCACCAAAAGGTAAAAACGTATAAGGTACTATTTTATGCCTATTTTCCAAACTAAATCTCTCAGGATCAGCTTTTTCCGGATTAGGAAAATATTGCGGGTCGTAGTGTTGTCTAGCAATTGGAATTGGCACCGAAACATTTTTGTAAATAGTCAATCCAATATCCTTCACAAGTATAAGTGTCTTGGCGTCTTCTGTCCAAAAGACTGATAAAGGGAAGAACATTCTTTTATTAGCTGCAACATCCGCTTCATTTTTCCTGACGTGACAACCGGAGAAAGCTTCATCATGTGAACTAAAGCTTTTTATGTTATACTCACAGAGGATCACTTATCAGCAGTTTTTATAAAATCAACTTGAAAACTGAGTATTTGTATTTATATGCCGTTCGCTATCAAAAGATACGTTGTTTAATTCTTAGTGATAATATAAATTTTCTAATCATTATGTGTGACTTTCGTTTTTGATCATTTAGAAATAATAATTAACTTGAATGTTAATTATTATTCACAGTGAGCCTAAATTTTAAATACTAACATATAAGAACAGGTGTTTAGTATATTACACACTTTCTGCAAAATGTGCAAATTTTGGTTGATGTAAAATCATTGCAACTATGACATCCTTGGTTAAAAAATGGTTACTTCGACTAAACTTCCCTCGCCCTTAAAAAAATGGCAAAATCAAAAAATGTTTCTGCAGAAATGGTCATAATCATAAATATTTAAAAATTCACAATGTGATCATCCTTAATGATGCAGGTTTGGTACTTTTATCCAATGTGATTAGTGATTACATTCGTTTTCTTACGATTTTTAAATGCATTTGTATTTGATAACATTATCGAACTTTTTTCTAGGTAAGCCTTCTGCTATGTTAAATCTGTTGATTTATTCCAACAATTATACACTGACCGGCAAAAAAACGGCCACCCTGAAATATTTCGCAAAACCACTTCAAAAATTGTATTTTAACTAGGGACTGTAACGTTCGCTGGTGCAACCTCACGTAAAATTTAATACTGAAATAAAAAAAAATAAAAAAAATTGTGACAATTCTAACGTATTTTCATAATTAAAAAAGTTATTCCAAGTGTCCCTTTTTAGCTAATTCACCCTGTATGTTTAAACGGTAGTATTAGCACAAATTTAACACACAAATCTCGCACAAAAATTAAGACATATAAAATAAAATTAAATCAACGCACAAGGTGTGAACCGTTTAAAAAGAAAAATTATACTGCTGTAGAAAATTATGCTGCGTTCATTTAAAACATGCTGCGTAATCTTATTGGCGCAACGGTTTTGCCACTCTACCAAATACTCCTACATCGTACTGCAGCATCATGCTTATCGTTCAGTCGAGTTCACACATTCACCGTGAAAAGATATACATTACCAGCTCGATAATTACAGATTTC